AATGGCTAGCCAGCCTAGAGTAACAGTTGGGGATCTTAGATAAAATACCCTTGGGTTCAGCCTCTTGGACCAATGAATTAAGGACCAATAGGAGAGGGTGAAAAGGAGGAAGAGTTTTAGAGGCAAGGGTTAGGGAATAAAGGGTGGAGTGCATAAGAGCCCCCATGGAAGTTTGGACTAGAGTGACACCGCGTTCATTAGCACTCGTTACGAATGGATGTTTGACTGTCAAAGAACTAAGTGGATGTGGGCTGTCTCCAGCAGAACCGAGCTGAAAGAAGGGCTGCATGCTTCTGCCTTCCCATGACAACTCAAGACTGCCCCTGTATCTGTGGACACCCCGCCCTGCAATTCCTTGGATCCTAGTAACTGGGGAGGGCTTGGTTCTTAGTCCCTGATAGAAGCTGTTCTTCTCAAGGCCTCTATGTGGCCACTATTGACGTCCGGTTTTCTATATCAGTCTCTTTGCCCTTCCAGCTCTCTGCTGGCCAGAGGCTAAGGTTATTAGAGACAGGAGCCATCGCTCTGAAGTTCATGGTACTTTCTGGTCTCACTCAAAACATTCAGATGTCCTGTTTCTTTTGTTATCATCTTTTGAGGCACTTAGGCCCAGTGGGATTAAGATCTCTCAATCAGTGGAGAATCCGCATTCGATCACCTGGGCTCCTGTCCATTCCCAGTGCTTCTCCTTCTCTCCAACAATCCAGCTCTATCTAGCTTCCTTGAGCCAAAATTCCACCCCACCCCCAGGACAAGTGAAATTCAGCCTCTGGAATACAAAGCTGTGGTTACTCTTCTGGTAACCACAGCTTGTATTTATTTAGCTTTCCCTGTGAGCCAGGCATATGGCAAGTGTTTTGCAACCAACATTATCTCATCTGATCCTCACAGGAACCGTCCCTGCTAGGTAGGGTGGCTGTTTCAGCCAGCTCTGAAGGGAAACTTAAAGAAACTTGTCCTCAGGGGGTCAATCCAAGGCCTATGACGCAAGCACAGGCTCTCGCTGGTCACACTCCCCTGCCTTCTTCCTCGGTGAGGCTGAAAAAAGTGAATCAATCTATGAGGAACTTTTTCATTCTTAAATAGAAGTCATCGATTAGGTCATTTTTACCACAATCAGTCTCAGGGACCGTACAGGCTGGGCTCTGAGAAAGAGGTGATGTTGTGTGAACATTGGCTGTGTGCTGCCCGTGGTTGCTCTCTGTGGGCTGCCAGGGAAGACCTGTGTGCAGGAGAGGGGCCTGTGTAGCCGGGCCCTGCCTGCTTCTTAAGTCACGACCCCTCCAGCATGTTCTGTCGAAAGAGTGTGTTTTCCGCTCTGTTCAAATACCTGTAAAGAGTAGTTGCTGTGATCCAATGCCAAGCATTTCACATTTCATATTTTAACATCTCTGAAGTTGGGAATTAATCTTATATCCAATGATGACCTTACAACTCTAAGTGTTAATATATTTTTTATTTTCAAGTAATATGTACATTAATGTGCATCTTAATGGATGGCATCTCAGATTCCATGAACATGGTATACACTGTGCACAGGTGAGAGAAGTTAAACTAGAACTTCTTCAAAGGCAAGAGAGAGGAGGAGGAGGAAAAGATGGAGGAGGAGGAAGAAGAAGAGGAGAAAAAAAAATAAATGGAAGTATAAATTCAATCAAAAACGTATTTCCTGGCCAGGAAGGATGGCTCATACCTGGTAATCTGTTACTCAGGAAGCAGACATCAGGAGAAATGTGGTTCAAGACTATCCCAGGCCCTGAGCCTGAGACCCTCATCTCACTCAATAAACTAGGTTTGCTGTTATGCACCTATAACCTGAGCTACACAGTAGGCATAAATAGGTGGAATACAGCATCATAGGCAAAAACTTGAGTCATGGCTCAATTGGTAGAACACCTGCCTAACTAGTGTAAAATAGTGACTGGAATCCTATGATTGCAACAGTTCCACATTAATTTAAATCCTAGTCCCACTATTTTTTTTTAAAGTATTTCCCTACCACCCCACACTTGACTAAGCCACCAAACTCCCAATCACAATTATTTACAAACATTTTTTTTTGTTGTTTGTAAAACATAAAACATTCAAGTCAAATAGCATCCGTCGTTTGTTACTTCAGGAAGCAAATTATTAGCTAAGATGGCAAAGTAATACCAAGAAAATATTTTGACCTGCCAAGCAGTATCTTATAGGTTACGTGCTTTTATTTATTTATTTTTATGTATTTTTATTTTTATTTTTTTATTGTGAAAATTCTGTACAGGGAGTTACAATTACATGGGCAAGATAACGAGTACATTTCTTATCAAGCATTGTAGCCTCCTCCTTTGTTTCCCCTTCCCATCCCTTCCCATCCTCCCCCCTGGTTACGTGCTTTTAAAACTCATTGCTTTTATCTAGTTTGGACTAAGTAGGTATCTCATAAAGAAAAGTACATATTATCTCATATTTGCCTCAGAACGCGCTCTGAATATTGCCATGCGGTGAGGCTTGATCAGTGTCCTTAGTGACTTATCTCCATTTTCATTGATGTTCACTAACGTTCCTCTCAAATTGATGTCTAATCTGTTTGTCCCTATCCCCCAATCCTTTCATCATGATTCCAGATGAATATCTTCTTTTCCATGGGTCACGTGATACAAGTGTCCTAGTTGCAAGATTCTATTCAAACTCTTTCCTGAGGGTGTTCGGCCATCACCCAGGGAGTGGAGAAACATTCGTGACAAGAGGTAGGACAAGTAGACAGATCATTTCTTCGTTTCCAAGGTAGCCATCACCGTTCCCCGCATCCTCGGTTTATTTTTGTATAGGCCCAAGGCTGCAACTTATTAAAAATTTAAACTTGTCCTACGGGAAACCATATTGAGGATAGCCAGAGAGTTCTAGCCAAATAGTTATCTTTTTTTTTTTTTTTTTTTTGACCTCTGGACATTTACGTGTGCTGATTTGCATTCTGCAGCAGTTACAGGAATAGATATGCCAGGAAGTTTTGAAATTCAAGGACAGATAGGGCCCATTTCTTGGTTAAGGTTGTAGCTCCAGACCTACAGATTGGCCCAGCAAGGCCCTCCAAATCTTGTGCAATGAGCATTTTGAAATCCATGGGTCATTTCATTCTGGCTTCCAGGAAGCTCAGCAAAAGGCTCAGGCTGGAGAATTGCAAAAGTTTATGATTTCTCACCGAGGAATGAAATGTGACGCAGTAGAGCAAACAGCAGACAGCTAATACCAGATGTTAATGTAAAAATTGGAAAATGGTAGCGCCCCCCCTCCCCCGCCGTGGTTATCTGACCCCTGACCCACAAAATCCCATCATAGGGTCTGTAAGCCATCATCAGACTGGATTCTTCCACCACTAAACCATGTGCTTAAAAAAAACAAACAAACAGGTAATGTTTCTGAATCATAATGGATTATTAGATTCTAGCAATCTCTAGGCATTTTGTTTACTGCAGCACAGAATGATGCACTTCATTCCTATACAACCGGAACTATAGCCTTTTTGGTATGTAGGTTTTTCTAGTGGTTAAATATAACTTCAGGGATGGTGAAGGCCAGGAAGGGAAGACATTTTTTATGTGTTCTGAGAGGGGAAGAGAACACCCAAAACATGCATTTCAAAACATTTCTCCATTTATTCCCCCTTCTTCCCTAAACCTGCAGGCTTGAGGATTTTTGTAGACAGACTGCTGGGGAAACAAGGTGTGTGGGGAGAGCATGGTATAGATGGAGGGGTGGGGTATAGAATCTCTAGATTTGGTGTCAGATCTTCCCTGCGAAACTAGCAAATCACCCTCTCTGCCCCAACATTCCCTTCCTAACACCGGGCTCAACACGGGTGTGTCGATCGCTTCACAGGGCTGTTGAGAGACGTCAAGAACTGTGCACAGTCTGCACAGTGGACTGTGGTTTTGAAGACCACGGCTCCAGCTCTGTTGCTCCTGCTTAAATCCTGCAGGAGCTGCGACCAGCGGGCCCACAGCCTCCTCCAGGCCCAGGGACAAGGTAGGAAGGATCTTAACACGTCCCTTTTCTTACTGAGCATGAGTGTCCCTCTGCTGTTGAGGTTTAAAGCAGTGGTGAAGACGGTGACGTGAAAATGCTGTGGTGAATTGTTAGCAGGAAACAGAGTCTGTTCACCAGATGCCGCTGAAGTGCTACCATGGTCTTCTGTGAGGAGCTCAGAGAGCACCATAGATAGAGTATCACAGACCAGACGGGCTCAGGACCTGGCCTCAAAGAGAGCATCCAGGGCAAAAACCTAAGACCCTCTCTGAAGTCACTAAAACAAACAGGGCCCCAGGGGCTTGGCTCAGGTAGTGGAATGTCTGCTTAAACACTCTCTCCTCTCCCTGCCCCTCTCCTCCAATCTTCCCTCTCCTCTCCCATACCCCTTCCCACCTCTCCCCTCCCCTCCATGACCACCCTGTTCCCCCTTCGCTCCTCCCCTTTTCCCCCTCCCCCTCCTCACTTCCTCTACCACCCTTTTCCACTTCCCACCCACCTCCCCTCTCATTCCTTTCCCTGCCTTCCTCACCTCCATTCTCCCCTCTCCCCTCTACACCCCAACCCTTCCTTTCCCCTCCTCCCTCCAATCCCCTCAACTCCCAGTTCCCTTCCCCTCTCCTGTTCTCCCCACCCATCATCTCTCCAGTCCCCTCTTCCCTCCCTCCTCATTCTCCTCTTCCCCTCCCTCCCCTTCCCCTCTCTCCCCTTCCCCTCTACTGTCCTTTCTCCTCCTTTCCCCTCCCCCACTCTCTTTTCTTGCCTTCGTAGCTATGTATACCTGTAGGCAGATGAAGGTAGCACACCTAGGTATACAATTTGTGGTTGACTGTGATTGTTCATAGTCCTAAATCTAGTGGGGAAAGGGGAGAGGTTTTTTTTTCCCCCCAAAATCAATGCCATTTTATGAAATTCAGTTTTATTCTCCAGTGTCTCTCCATCCCCACCCACCCCCTCAGACTGTGCATCTTCAGGTTCAAAGTAATCCCTGGCAGTTGGAATTGAATGATCTCTCTCTGGGCATGTGAGCTTACTTGGGTCTCATGGGACCAAAGAAAACTGATAGTATGAGAGAAACACATTATCTGTGATAAATAGCCTCATTTAATTGGAACCGAATTTGCAAAATTGGACCATTTCTAATCTTTCCCATCCATTATAGCTCCAACTGGTTCATTTCATGCTTGACTGTGACCCTAAGAATGACGTACATTTTCCTCCAGTATGAAGAAAAGAAATCATAGATCAGTGTAACAGAAAGTTGTCCCAATGTATCCCCAATAGAGAAGAGACAAAACATCAAACACCAGTAGTGCCAAAACATTTTACTGAAATTTTTCTAACTTTTTCTCAAAGAACATTACAAAAAGCAAGTAAAATTGATGACAAGTTACACACTAGAAAATAACTTTTCTTTAAGGGCAGGCTTCTAGGGAGAGGCAAAGGAAATAGGTAGAAACATTTTTCTGTGGTTAAAATACTAGATTAGGCTATTTTATACATAACTCATTTGGATCCATTTACAGGGGGAAAATATGTCCCAGGCTTGGAAATTAAAGCCAGACTGTGACCTACAATCAATAGGCTAGTTTCTTATCCACCAAGCTGGTTTACAAAGATCAGCGTACTATTGGGAAAAAGCTTTTTGTTTAACCAGTAGCTCAACACCAACCAGATTAAGGAAGATGTAAAACTAAAAGGTTGATTTGGAGGAAAGAAATAAGGCACGGTGATTGGCTTTTTTGCTTTCTTCTCAGGTTATAGTTTTGTTTCCCTGTAGGATACCAGATGTAAATCTCACATAGCGATCTCATGTCATCAAAGCTTTCCCGCTGATGACTGAGATTCCAGTTCTCCAGGTTCTCTTCAACTTGCTGTACCATGCTGAACGCATTAACTGAAATCTAACTTGTGTGCTCATAGGAGAGTTATGTCTTTAACGGCTTGAGAATCTGTGCTTTGACAACCATGAGGTAGGAAGTACATTTATGGAGGAAAATCTGAATCACGGAGAAGGCACCATTACCTGGACAGCTTTTAAGGTAAGAAATGATGGAGCTGGGATTTGAACACAAATCCACCTAAAAGTCTTTTGCAAGAAACTCACTAGTCAACTCACAAGGAGACTAAAAATTTGAACTAAAATGACTCAAAAAAAAAAAAAAAGCCACAAATGTAGATGTGCTTGAGTTATAAATGTGACAGGGATATCCAAAGTGAGTATATTTATGTTAAAACTGACTTCATTTCACTTACCAAGTTTCAAAAACTGGAAATGTTGAAAGTATCCATAGATCATGTGAAATACCATTACTGTTAATTTTTTTTTTTTTTTGCCAGTCCTGGGGCTTGAACTCAGGGCCCGGGCACAGTCCCCGTGCTGCTTTTACCTCAAGGCTAGCACTCTGCCAGTCGAGCCACAGTGCCACTTCCAGCTTTTTCTGTGTATGTGGTGCTGAGGAATGGAATCCAGGGCTGCATGTATGCGAGGCAAGCACTCTACCACTTAGCGGCATTCCCAGCCCATTATTATTATTTTTTTTCTAGTTCTGGGATTTGAATTCAAGGGCTTTGTACTTGCTGAGCCTAATGCTCTACCACTGAGCCACACCTCCAGCCCAGTTTCTTGCTGGTTATTTTGGAGACAGAGTATCTTAGAAGTTTTTGCATGTTAAACTCTAATGCTCGGCTGATTCCATGTGGCCTGAATGGAACAGTCCTGGACAAATTACTCCTGAGATGGTATAAAGGACAGTTGAAACATTTTAGATTATTTTCTAGAGAACCTCTGTGACAGAGTCTGACAGCTAATTGAATAACCAAATTAGCAGCCTATACTTCTGTATAAATACTCAGTCCGTTGTATCCCTAGACTGACAGAAAAAGAAGACCAATAGGTCTTTTTGTTCTTCAAGTAGGCAAGCAGTTTGTCCCTGGCTTTACAGACAGGTTTCAAGCTAGAATGGCATGTGGCTGTGAAGTCTCTTGATAGCACCGTAGCACACACCTACCATCACATGCGCTTATCCCGAGCATCTGGGGGCAGGCTACTCTACACACACAGTGTCTTTATCAATGAGTGTTGCTTTTTGGGAGGTTCAGCTACACATCCTTTTATCCACCTGAGGTGCCACAGTGTCTAAGCAGATGGACACAGGTGGTGGTTTGCATCACTTTGTATCTAGGTTGGTAAAAGTCCACACTTGTACTGGGAGGCTTTGTTCCACCAAATCACAAATTGGAGAGCGGCCACCTGTCCTGGCTGCCTGTGGAGCCCAGCTCCACCTGACAGATATCGGCACCTGGTCCTCCAGCCGCTGAAGCTGAGCTCCAGGTGAAGGGAAAGGACAACTGTGTGGTTCCCAGTTCATCTGGATTCACAGTTTCACTGGTATATCCTGACCAAAGCCGCTCGCTGCGTCTGTGGTTTTCTTCCATACATTTTCCATCCGGCTCGGGCTACTATCAGGCATGTTTTCCAGCCCTGATGTTGGGGGTGGGGCTTTAGCACGCATATTTTTTCCAGATGTGATCAGCTCTCCGTAGCCTTCTTGGTGAGCGAAGGCGTAGCCAGATCTTCTTGAGCTCAACCTGCGGGTCTGAGGTCTTCGGCTCCTTGGAGGCCTGGTCTTCCTTTGTGCCTTCTGCCAATGGCGGATCTGGAAAGGAGCAGACCCAGGGAGGGGTGAGCCAAGGAAACCACACCAACCATGACAGGACGCTCACCTTCACGACACCCGGAAGTCGTGACTAGAAATCAGAATGTTTTCCCCCTAGGCTCTAATCCGTTTTTTATTCCTACTGACAAACTACCAAACACAAAATATTTGGGTAGAATTCCATGGTGTCTGCAGCTCATACAACTTGATTATAGAGGAGCATTCCCCCACTCCGGAGGTGGGACTAGAACTCAAGGCCTCTTGCTGGCTAGGAACATACTTTTCATACAGAAAGGTTTTCTAACATCACCATCCAGGCGCAACACAAACGTTCTTAGGACCATTCTCTCCCAACAGTTTTCTCTGGTCGCGGGTCTCTGGACCCAGGAGTCATCAGTAACTGAAGTTGGCAGCTCATGATGGTAATCCTAGCTACTCAGGAGGCTGACAGCCAGTCCAGAACAAAAAGTCTGCAAGACTTCCATCTCCTGTTAACCAGCAGAATTTCAGACTGGAGGCATCGCTTAAGCGGTAGAGTATCAACCTCTCAACCGTGAGCAAGACAGCTCAAGGCCCTCAGGCTAAAGGGGGAGGGGGAGATGGAGGAGAGGGGAGAAAAAAGGGAGGAGGAGAGAGAGAGGGAAACAGTATGGGTGCATGAGAGAGAAATGACAGGGAAGAGAAGATGGAAAGAGTACGGGGACAGAGGGGAGGGAGAGGGAGAGAGGGGAAGAAGTGGGAGAGGGAGATAACAAGTAAAAAGGGAGGGAAGAGAAAGATGTAGGGGAGAGAAGGGGAGATGAAGGGAGGAGGGAGAAAAGTGAGGAGAGGTGGGCGAGAGGAAGGGGAGGGAGAGAGATGGAGTGAGAAAGGGAGGGAAGAGAGGCAGGGAGGGGGGAGGGGAGTAGGTTGGGGAAGGAGAGGAAGGTAAGAGAAAGGTTGGGAGAGTAGAAAGAGGGGGGAGGAGTGATAGAAAGGGAGGAGAGAGGGACGGAGGAGGGCCTGGAGAGGGAGAGAAGGGAAGAGGAACAAAGGAGGAGAAGTAGAGGGGGAGGGAAGAGAAAGGTGAGGAGAGTGGGAGAGAAGGGTGGCCTAGAGAGGGGAGGGAGAGGGAGAGGGGCATGGAGGGAGGGGGGAAGGAGAGGAAGGAAGAATGGAGGGGAGGGAAGAGAAAGGTAGGAGGGGTGGAGTGGGGGGAGAGGGGAGAGAGATGAAGGGAGGAGGAGAGGTTGGGGGGGAAGGAGAGGAAGGGAAGAGAAAGGTTGGGGGAGGGGTAGAATGGGGGAAAGAGGGAGAAAGGTGGGGAGAGGTAGAAGAGGGAGAGAGGGAGGAAGGGAAGAGAAAGGTGGGGGAGAGAGGATGGGGGAGGGGGAAGAGAGAAGAGGAGGAAAGGAGGAAAGAAAAGTGGGAAGCTGTAGATAATGGGGGGAGGAAGAAGGGCGGGAAGAGAAAGGTGGGGGAGGGGTGGAGTGGGGAAGAGGGAGAGGAGGAGAGAGAAAGGTAAAGAGGAGAGAAGGGAGAGAGGTGGGAAGAGGGGGAGGAAGAGTGGGGAAAGGTAGAAAGGTAGAAAGAGATGAGAGAAGGGGAAAGGGAGATACAGGCGGGGAGAGGTGGAGGGGGAGAGAGGAAGGGATGGAAGAGAAAGGAGAGGGATAGAAAGGAAGAGAAGGAGAGGAAGGAAGGCGGAGAAAGGTGGAGAGAGATGAAGGGAGGAGGGGAAAAGATGAGAAGTAGAAGGGGAGAGGAAGAAAGAGGAGAGGAAAAGAAAGATGGGAGGAAGGGAAGAGAAAGTCAGGAGAGTAGAATGAGGGGGAGGGTGGAGGGGGGGAGAGCATAAGCAAGCGGGGCGGGGAAGGAGAGAGAGGATGGAGCGTGAGGGGGAGAGGAGAGGGTAGGGGCATGGAGAGGGGAGAGTAGGGGGCGGGGAGAGGGATGGACAGAGGGGTACATGAGAGAGAGGGAAGAGAAAAGGGGGGAAGGAAGGCGGGGGGGTGGAGAGAGAGAGCATACAGGACCTATGGTAGCCACAGTCCATGGAGCCGGCACTGGGTGAAGAGAGCAGGCTCCCAACTCCTGCGTCCATGCACACACTGGCTTTGTCACTTGAGAAGGGGGGGGGGGGGGCGGCCTCTGGGCCTTGCAGTCACTGAGCGCAGGTGCAGCTCAGCCCTCCAGGGCACATACCTGGTCGCTCAGCGTGGGGTATAACTCCATCTTGAGAAACCTGAATGCCACCACTGGCATGACCGAGACCACTGTGGCCAAGAGGATCACCAGCCAAATGTACTTCTGGCTCAGACACTGCCGTGCGTTTCCTGCGTGGCGCAAGAAATACACCGTGTTGATAAACAGAACTACGTCGTTAACCGATCGAGAGGTATTTCATGAAACAAGGCTTGCACTACTGTTCAAGCTGGGTGCTGTCCTGGCCTGTAGGGTGTTCAGCGGTGGTGAGCTGACGTGTTCTGAGCCAAGCCTTCTACGATCCAGCCTTGCCCAGAAGCTCAGTATTCTTTTTTTTTTTTTTTTTTAAAGCACATTTACCTTTCTGGATTCTTCCATGAAAATGATCATATCAGAATGCAGCAGTCGTACTCGCTGCACCCTGTGGGAAATGAACCAGGTAACTTGTGGGGGACGGGGGGGGGGGGGGGACTGGAAGAGGCCAAGGGAAGGGGTGACATGGTCCAAAAAGAAATGTACTCATTACCTGACTTATGTAACTGTAACCCTTCTGCACATCACCTTTCCAATAACAACAACAAGAAAAAAACTCCCTCGTAAATGCTCCTCAGGTGGGCACAGTGGCAAATGGTGATTGGTTGATTGGTTTGTCGTAAAAAGTAAGCGCTACTATAGTGTCAACCTTTGAAATTCCAAGCAACAGGCTCAGAACACCTGGAACTTGCTGCCTCTTTGGGGTTTGCCTGGCTAGATGGGAGGAGCCACCATCAACCATGGCACCGCCAAGCTTGAAGCCAGTTTCTTGACTTGCTCTTCCTATCAAATTTGTGAGAGTACAGGAAGTCAAGAAGCTGGCTCAGGAAGCCAGACAGACAAATTCTGCAGGAAGATACGAACTGCTTAAATATCAAATAGACTTCGGTCCCTGTCCATTGTCTAGGGACATCTCTCGATACCTGCAGCTAACCAGGACTCCTATTATCAGCGCTCAAGAATGAACAGCGTTGGGGATGAGGGTGAGGGAATGAGGGCAGCGGTTGGTAGCTGGTGTGTCTGTCTTTTCTGGCTTTGGAGAATATACGTGTGTCTACCATAGAGTAGCTGATTCTAGTTACCATCAGCCAAAATGAAAAAAGAGAAAAAAAAATTTCTTTTTGGAGCTCCTTGAAGCTGATTACCCCTCAGCCAGGGCTGGGGGGAAGCGGGGAGGCGGTGGGAAGAAGTTTGAAGCCCCACTAATACTTGTTGGTTACTAGGGAAGGGATTTTCTTCCTCTGCTCCCCCCTACCCCACCCCATTGTTGATCTAACTTTGGTACAGCCTCATTGGAGCTCAGTAATTAGTTCCTGGAATGGCATGTGCTTCGGCAAAAGAGTGGTCTCCGCACAATCGCCTTTGTCCAGCGGAGGCATTCCAGCCCCATTATGCACGGGGAGAATGTTCTCTTAGTTCTGGAAGTATTCTAGTCAATAATACACTGAACTTTCAAATTTGGCAACTCCCAAATAAGTAAATAAAACAAAACGTTAAAAATATTTTTTAGTCTCTTTCTTTCCTAATTGGCGTATTCTTATCCACGACCAACATGTCTCTACGTGGTTGGAATCTTTCGGTAAACAAAGTATTAACATTACATATTGAGCAAGAGTGGTACGATCTAAAGACTTCCAGGATCAAGAAACAATGTTCTTAAGTGTTTGTGTGCATGGAATGGGAAACAGAATTTTAGGTACCTTGGCGTCGATGAAAATGCCAACTCTCACAGTTGGCTCTACCATAGTTTAGTCTTCTAAGAATGATTTTCTAGACTGAGTCACCCAAGTAGTGGATTCACAGCTCATTTTACCTGAGTCAATCTCTTCTTGCTACTTGGTTGAGAAAAGTCAGGAAGCCTGTTTCTTGTTCACCCCCACCCCTTACTAAACTTCTGAGAACATTTTTATTCACAGACTTCTTATGGAAGTTCTGGATGTCTTGCTGAGAACCATTTTGAGATGCGGACTGCAATGCAGTGTACTCACTTTATATACCAGGTGTACATTCTTTGTAGAACAAATAGAATTCAAGGCTATAAGGGACTTCGAAAGGTCCTTTGCTACCAATCTAATGCTCAGTCTTTAGTCACTAATTGGTTTAAGCAAGCAACATTTCTCAAATAATTGTATTATCACCGTCAGTCAACACTAAAATGTTAAGATACATTAAGTACTTCACATTTGGTTTTCATAGATTTATCTCATTTGGTCTTCACAGATTTCCTATGAAAATAAGTACTATTAACATCCCAGTTCTAAGTTAAGACATTAAGTCATGGCAGAGACCAAGTACTCTGGAACCCTTGTCTGTCTAAACAAAGCCACTTTTGGACTAAGGTCCAGAAATTTGTAGAAGGCTCTGACTTTTACATCACTTCTGAATTTTGGCAAATATGTTGGTAATGATGTGACATAAAAACAAGAGTTCAGGATTTCCTCTTCTCCTCTGAACCTTATACAAACTTTTCACTGTGTATGCTATGCCTCTTGCTTCTAAGGAGGCAGCCACTCCCTCTGCGTGCGCTGCATCGACAGCCTGTGAGCTGCTAGCACAGCAGCTCTCCCGCATCTGATGGGATAACAAAAACTAATCTCCTGAAAGCCATCAGGCGCCCAGCTCCACCAACTCCTGGAGAAGGCGTCACCGGCCATTTGCAGCTGCCCCCGAACAGTGAGTTATAAAGACAAACAGCAGCCCGACGCTAGGCCCTGCTAGACAGGAGGATTCACTTACCGACAAACGGAAAGTGGTTCGGGAAGATTCCAAAGATGCCGTTACTGTGCATTGTAAATAAAATGGAGAAATAAGTAGCAACACTGCCCCAGATGAAGACGTGATTAATGACAGTCCAGTAACTGGTATCCAAGGCTATCTGTAAATAAAGTAAAATGAATGAGGCCTTTGGGATTGAGAGAGGTTCATTTGACTATGAGCTATTTCCTCACAATTGCTGACAAGCAGGTGGCGATTATTTAGCTGCTGGACCAATTACAGCCACCTCCATTATATCTCCCCTAACACAACACACATACACACACACACACACACACAGAGTGACTGAGCTTGATGTTTCTGTTAGACAGCAGACTTTGGATCTGAAGGCCAGTCTATCATCCAAGGTTGAGATAGGATCAGGAGATAAAATGTTAAGCTTTGTTAAGTAAGAGGGGAAAGAGAGAGAATGGTTTTGAAATCACCTTCCAAATTGCTCTCAAGTTTTCTACTGGAAAAAAAAAATTTATGGCAGCAAACAAGCGCAAGTTTGTACCTAAACACCCACATGGCCATTTTTACACATGCATAATCTTCTACACACATATTCCAATTCATTTTTATGACCCTTTTTTTTTTTTTACAAGACTCGAAGCATAACCGAGAAAAATCCCAATCTTCTTGTCATAAAACTCAAAAACTCAAGAGCGTAAGAGCGCATTCACAGGCGCTTCTAACTAAAGAACTAGAAGAAAGGCTGATGTGTGCTCAGAGATGCCAGGAAAGTACTGGTAAACGTGAATCCTTGAAGAGGAGACTCTGCTCTCGTGATTTGTGTTTCAGAGGTCTGAAGGAGTCCTGGTAAAGGTCTGTACTTCTGGCGGAGTTCGGTGCGCTGATGCACCACCGTGGCCATCTCATCTTCCTGGGAGAGCAGGCTTACCCGCAGAGTGAACGCCGCCCGCCCGCCCGCTCCACATGCGGAGGCACACATCCCATCCTGCTCGCAGTTTACAGTCCTGTAAAATGTCGCCCCAGTCGAAAGAGGCATGCCAGCAGCTTTGGATGTGAACTGAAAAGGTTATAAAAGGACAGCCTTTTCTTTCCGCAAAAGGCCTGAAAACAGCCTCTGCCATCCAGGCCTTGGCCCAGACCTGTGGGTTTTCTAGTTCATTCGGTTGCTAAGGCAACCCAAAGTCTTCAAGTCTTGTCTTCCACCACCTGTTAGTTCATTAAAATCAAAGGACAACAATAGCCTGATCTGGAGAGGGGAAGAAAAGGCAAAGAAAAAAATCCAGACTTACATAAAAGGACTCTCGGAACAGGTGGCTCCTGTGGAAGCAGAACTAATGGAAGAGACAGACAAGCACCATAGCAACAAGATGGAATAAGATCTCTTAAGGAGAGGCAATTAGACCAAAAAGAAAACCCCCTCCTCACTATTTCTGCATTTTAAATATTTAACAGCAAAACCAATCTAAAACAGTCACTGGAGATCTGGGTTAATATTCTGGAACAAACAAATGGAAACATCATCTCAAAACAGGGAACAAAAACTCAAAAGAAAACCATGTTCAGACTCATGAATGTCACATCCAGGAACCCATATACAATTAATATTGTTTTAGAAAGAGAAAAGCATTTCCAAAGACATGACAGAAGAAAACTGCTTTGTGAAAATAGCATAGACTTCCAGATAGAAAGAGCCCCCTAAATCCTAGGCTAATTGATGGAAAAAAAAGATATATCCTGGTAACATTTGAAAACTAAGAATAAAGATCATAACACTTTCAGATAGAATATATTATTTACAAAGGAAAGAGAATGAATCTAGCATCAGATCTGCTACAGTGGTAGGCAGCAGTGACATATCTATCATCAGGAGGCTGGGAATCAATGATCAGGATTAAGGTTCAAGGTCAGCTCAGGAAGCAAGGCTCTTTTGACTACAGTTTTTTTTTTTATATGAAAAAAAGAAGCAGCAAAAAAGTGGGGCTTAGCCTGAAAATAACTTATGGACAAGCAAAGGGAAGAGAAAAAAGTTAAGAATATAGGAATATCAATAGTAGTTTTGTTTTTTTTAAAGATACATTAATTGTAAAGAACGAAGAACAAGGTACTAAACACCTTTCGTGCCTGTCATATGTTATACTTAGGAAATTCTCAGATAATCTATTACCTTACTGATATAGTACACAATGCCAGGGACTGCTTGGAAGAATGTTTTCAAAATTTATTTTTCCTCCCAGCTGGCCTTTTATTTCTGCTACTAATTTTCAAATCATCTTTCAGAACCCCAAGAATCAGGCCCAGCCTTGAAGGGGAATCTGTTGAAACCACAAAATGATGTCACAGTACGTACAGACAACACACACACACACACACACACACACACACACACACACACACACACACACACACACACACACACACACACACACACACACACACACACACACACACACACACACACACACACACACACACACACACACACACACACGCCTCCCCTTGAGGAAAATGTAGAGAACCAGAAATGCACCCTCGTATCAAGGAAGAGCTCCACTGATTCTTAAGAGTTTGTTCAACAATCAGAAGCCAACAAATAAAATAGGCTACAACGCCTGCTACAGGTACTACCAAAAGTTTGCTTTGAACTCTCAACTTGGCATAGAATGGTACTGACCACCACTGGCATTCAAAAGGGAATTGAAACACAACTCTACAATACCCATGAAAGAAGGTCTGTGGAGCAGCAATCATCCCTACTGGAAAAATTGCTCTAACTTTGTGATTAGGACACAGAATCCAAGGACGTATAGTATCAAATAAACTTTAGATCTTACTTTAAGGCCTAAAGTTATTATTCATAAATCCTAGCAATTTTTTTCTCTTTCTAGTATCACTAATTTTTTGGGGAGGGGGTTGCTTTTTGTTTTTTTTCGGTCATGGGGCATTGAACTCAGGGCTTAGCCTGGGTACTGTTCCTGAGCCTCTTTTGCTCAAGGCTAGCACTCTACCACTTTGAGCCACAATGCCACTTCCAGTTTCTGAGTGGTTATCATTGGAGATAAAGAGTCTCACGGGTACTTTTCTGCCCTGGCTGACATCAAACCACAATCCTCAGATCTCAGCCTCCTGAGTAGCAAGGATGACAGGTGTGAGGCACTGGCACCTGGCTTTAGAGTGTGCGTGTTTTGTCAAGCACAAGAAGGAAATACTTCTATAGTATTTCTCTTTACATCCGCCCTGAAGAGGTGACTGTGACATTCCTACAGACATGTCGGTTGTAGACACCTCCCAAATCTGGTCATTTATACTATAGCTTCATGGTTTGTTTTTTTTTTTAAGTCTCAAAATGTGTAAAGGAAAATCCTAGTATTCTTTTAGGATCATCTCCTCCCCTCCCCGCCCCCCAAAAGCAGGAAAAAAAATCCATGTAACAATCACTGGGAATTTCGCCAGCGTTGAGCCCTTAAGGCACTTTCAGCAGCAGCATTACCTGCACGCTGACCACGACGACCAAGGAAGTGGCCATGGTCACAGCAAAGGACTGGTAGTCGGCCATATGTTGCCCGTCTTCCGCAGCCATGTTGTACAAGGCCCCATAGGGGATGAAGAAAAGAACTAGCGAGGTGTAGATTCCATGGGCCACACAGATGAAAAATTTACGCTTGTTAAAAAGGAGGTGCAGCTGGCCAGGTTCATAGAGCTGGGGACAGTCCATGCTGTTCTGGTCATTCACGTCCTGTGAACAGTATAATTTCAGGAGAGAAGAGTGGAGGAAAAGTCAGAGAGGCTCAATATCCTACCATCTTAGCCTGCCTGTTGTGTCCTGCTCTTTCCCACGATAAACACAGAGGTGTTTTATTTGTTGTTGTTTTGTTTTGTTTATAGGGAAGGAACTTGTGGCTTCAGGGGAGATTGGACTTGAGGTCCTCATAGATCTTAAACAGCAAGAGGCTGGACTTGACTTGAACCTAGATCTTGGAATTCGAATCCAACTTTCTTCTCTACGCTTCCCTGCAGGCCACTGTGGCTACAGACCCTTTGGAGGAATTCAGGCTCCAGGGATCCCAACCCCAAGCATGTTGTCGCCTTTGGACCAAGAGATCATGGCCAACGCAGTGGGCGGTAGTGACCAGGAGGTGGCAGCAGAGAGCCACAGCATCAGAATTGGATAACCAGGAACTCCAACCTGAGGCAGAGGTTGAGTTAGGGAAGCAGGAAAGGAGCACAGAGAGAGAGAGTGGGGAATTGAAGGGAAGGAGGAAGACAACACCAAATACTTAGGATCAAAGTGCTTTACCAAGGATTCAGGAGCCACTGAGAAATGTTTAGGACAAAGAAATGGAAAACTGCACGTTTAGCACCGAGCAGTTCCCGGGGAAAAACTAAAGTGATTCAGGTTTGGTGTGCACATGAATGTCCGGGGACCAACCCATGATTCCCAATTTTGTCAGTAGCCAGCTGGGAGCACCGCAGCCAAACACCAAGAACCAAAAAGGACAAGAGTCCGCCGCTAGGAACATCAGACAGACTGGGCAGAGGAGACACATTCTTGTGCTACATCTTAAGTCATAACCCATGCCTCCACAGCCAAAACGTAAGCTAATGTGATACTCATGACAGTGTAGGAATATCGCAAGTCCGAAGGCAAGAGGCCTGGCTTGAGGTTTAGTTCTGTCACTTATCAGCTGTGTGGTGGGAGGACATCGATTTGAACCTCCAAAGCTCTGCTCCCAGAGCTGAGTACCGAGGCCCTCCCCGCCCAGCTCTCCCTCATCCTGGGATCTGTTCAAAGGCCAGAACTGACAAAAGCAGGGAAAGCAGACATGGCAATAATGAGTCTTATTACTTTTTTTTTCTTCTGGAATTGCACAATAACCATGTTTTCCCAGAAACGGCTTCATTGTTATTATTTTATTCCACATTCAAGGAAGCGACAAAGCACCAAGAAAAGGAACGCTTGTAAACACGGTCACTTGGACGCGAACGTGCTTAATCCTTTACATCTAAGGTCTTCCAGAAGTTCCTTTTTGTAGACTTCCACACAATACGCCCTCCACCAGCTGCCCTTTTTACACGGGAGAAGGGAGACGTACAGTGGCCTGCAGAGCCAGCAGCATGTGAGGAGGGAGGGAACTCATAATGTGAAGATTTACATTTTGCAATAGATGGCTTCCAGCCAGAAATTGAGGCCTACCAAATGGGTAGGCCTGAGAACAGTGCGGGTAAACTCTGGTCTCCTTAAAAATACTTCTCTCGCCCCCACCCCCCCCAAAAAAAATCCCACACGTTTTAAAATAACACATTGTGTTGTGCCACGGAAACGCCACTGGCTAGCCTTCTATTTCCCCAGGGACAGCCAGATCCACCCCCACCCCCTGGCAAAGCACCACTGGTGCCAGGCAGCCACCAGCACTGTGCTCGATCCCCTCCCTTCCCCGACTCGGGCAATTCCGGGGCTTGTGCCGGCCATGCATATCTTACTGTTCACACTGGCCTTCTGTATTGCTACCTCATTCCCTGATTTTCTGTCCCCCCCGCCGCTCCCACCCCCCTCCCCAAAACAAAGTACACGGCAAACCTTCAGAGACAATGGTAGCATTGTTGTTGTTTTGGTGGTACTGTGGTTTGAACTCAGAGCTTGATACTATTATGCAGGCATTCTTACCACGGAGCCACACCTTCGGCCCTGATTTTGCCAGATGGGTCTGAAACAGGATCTCAGTTCTGCCCTGGCCAGCCAACTAGGTGTCGTGATCCTCCTCCCAGCAGGCTGCCTGGACTGGCGTGACAGGTGTGTGCCACCCCATCTAACTCTCGGTTGAGAAGGAGTCTTGGGAAATTTTCTTCCCCGGGGCTGGCCTTCTAACTGTGGTCCTCCCTGACCTCAGTCTCCCAAGTAGCTAGGATTACAGGCATGACCCACCAGCACTTGGCTTCACAGGCATTTTAATAGTTGCCATATGAAAAAGAAAGTATAAATCATAAAACCTTGGGAAATGCTAGGCTGTGAGGAAACTGGAGACACGAATTCCTGGGGGACTTGCTCAGGGCCTCTCCCTCAACAATGTGGGCTATGAATTTCTATGAAGAGAGAAGCCAAAATGACCAGAGGACCCTTTTGGGGAGCAGATGGCAGGAGAGGGGTGTCTGAAAGAATCTGTCACTAATGCAACCGCTGTTAAAACATCTGTCTCTCTAGGGCTCTTTCTATGAATCTTGTCTTCTCTGTAGGAGCCCAAAACAACTAACAGGTTTAAAAAGATGTAAAGATAGAGACATGCACATACCTGGTCAAAAATCCCCATGGCGAGCACCGGTAACGATGTGTAGACAATGTTAAAAAGGGTGATAAACCACTGGTCATAAACAGTCTGAAAAGAAATAACATCAGTGAGCAACACCATCCATGTCAGTGAGAACATTCTCCCCTAGGGTTAAAGAACGCAAATTTCTAAAGTAAACGGATGTTAGCGTCTGGAGCCAGATGGATGGGAGTTCTCTCCTGTATTCGGCTTCTTCGTGTAACGCTAGATTTACCTAAATTTCCATCTTCTTTCTCTGAAAGGAGTTCATCTCCTCCCCATAGAGTGGCAATGGAGAGGAGATGATACATGTATATACCTAAGACAATGCTGGCCACATGAAAGACCCTGACCCTTGTGGTGGGTTCTGTCTCATTCTCTAGGCTTTCAATATTTTAGGCATGTTCCTTGGGATCGTCTTAAGAAACATGCCTAAAAGAAGAAAGCATTCAGTATGAAAGCAGCAAGGCAGCCAGATGGATGGAATGCAGTGACCGATGAGGAGAACAACGGACATCAAGCTTTAAGGAAGGCATGGTGGTTCACACCTGTAATCCCAGCACTTGGGAGGCAAGTTTGAGACCAGCTTTCCAATGAAAGAAAGCTTGAGGAAAAGCATGTCAGCGAGGTATCGGAGAGCTAACAAGATAGTGGGGAATTATCTGTCAAGCTCACAAAGAGAATTAAAAACTCCATCCAACACTTTCAAGACTAGTGTGATGTTATCTTTCTCCTCCTTATATTTCACCAGATGCCAGGGATGGGATGAAGCCCTAGTGTTTTCTAGGCCAGCCAGCTGTCCTACCCCAACTGCCAATATGCTACCCTGGGGTCCTGGCCCAGAGCTGAGAGTTGCAACTCTCGGCTGTCTTCTATAGATCCTCAACACACCCAGACTCCAGGGCTCAGACTATCAACAACCATCCAGGTTCCAGCCTGTTGCCCAGAGGCCACCAGCCCCTGTCCATCAGTCCCGATGTCCTCCTTCTCTTGAGCGAATATGTCCAACTCAACTTCTAGATGCCTATGTTGAGAAATGTCTACTTCTGTGTATCAGGATACATACAATACATAAAAAATAACAGCAACATTGGCCATAAGAGTCTAAAACCAAAACCATCCATCAGGAGAGGAATGGAGAGAGATACTGTGGTGTAGTGGTATGACAGAATACTAAAAGTAAGATATGAATCATTCAATTATATGAAAAATCCTAAGAATAAAATAAAAAGAAGGGAGCCAGGCCCCGGTGGCTCATGCCTGTAATCCTAGCTACTCAGGAGGTTGAGATCTGAGGATCATGGTTCAAAGCCAGCCTAGGAAGGAAAGTCCATGAGATTCTTATCTCCAAATAACCACCAGAAAACTGGAAGTGGTGCTATGGCTCAAGTGGCAGAGCACTCGCCTTGAGCTAAAGAGCTCAGGGACAGCATCCAGGCCCAGAGTTCAAGCCCCATGACCAACAACAACAACAAAATAGGGATCTTAAAGATAGGAGTGGGAGAGACAGAGAAGGAAGGGGTACCATTTGCCAAAAACAACCTAACTTACCCCCCCCCATACATCAACTTTATAATAACTTTTAAACATGCTAGATGCCAGTGGCTCACATCTGTAATCCTAGCTACTCAGGAGGATGAGATCTGAAGATGGCAGTGTTCAAAGCCAGCCCAGGCAGGAAAGTCTGTAAGACTCTTTATCTCCAGTGAACCACCAGAAGACCAGAAGTGGGGCTGTGACTCAGAGAAAGAGTGAAAGAGCTCAAGGACAGCACCGAGGCCCTGAGTTCAAGCCCTACAACCACCACCAACAACAACAAAAGAAGAGATCTACAGCACTAAGCCAAAAGACAAATAAAAATAACGCCCTGGTTAACCGTGATCAACAACGATCAACTTGACTGGACAGTAGAGATGAGTAAAGCATAATATCTCTGTGTAGAGATCTGATCACAGACTCTGACCTAGTGAGTGGTTAAATTCAGATTCAAATTTGTAATAGACTATGAGAAGTGGTAAGACTATAGAAAGTTGGTCCAGGTTGAAGGAAGTGCCTGGGGTGGTAGCACTAAAGTATACATTAGCCTGGCCCTTCCTGTTACTGCTTGCTTCTTCCTGGCTGCCATGAGAACAGCTTTCCTCTGCCAGGCCTTTTCCCCCCATGTTGTTTCTACCTTGCTGGGGCCTAACAACAATGGAGTCAGCTGACCATGGCTAAAACCTCTGAAGCAGCGAGCCAAAGTCCATCTTTCCTCCTTTGTTTCTCTTGAGCATTGGTCACAGCAACAAAAAGCTAAGCAATACAGATATACGTGGATGTATAATTTAATAACAACGGTAGTTAGCCATTATTAAGTGATAATGTGTCATATAATTTACATATAAGCATTTATCTAGTCATAGCTGTCTATAGATAGGTGGACAGATAGACATGGAGAGAGAGAAAGAGCGTGAAAGAAGACACAAAGCATGACTCCACTTAAGTCAAAAGCATGCAAATCCCTGCTGTGCTGTGGAGGGATTCATAATTTCACAATTCTTAAAAGTATAAAACAACTCAAAAGGGTGATAATAAAATATCCAGGGTAATTGTTTACCTCTGGACGGAAGAGAGGTATGACATGGAAAAGCAAGGGAGACAGAAGTGTGACTCGATACAGCAAGGAGCTTGCTCCAGCAAGCTGGGGTTGGACAGTGCTCTTCCGTTTGCCGGATCAGGGTACACATTCGTTTGATAACAGTTTTCTGAGTTGGCATTTATGAACCAAGTATGTTTTGGTAGATCTGTTGCCTTTTACAACGTAAAAAAAAAAAAAAAAACACATAGATGACTTTCTTTCACACATATAGTCTGTGGAGATTTGGGAAGGATTTAAGGACATAGAAAAAAAATTCAAGGTCTGGCCCAATTAAATCAGCTCTTGGGGACAGAATGTAGGTATGTTCTGTTTTCATTGTTCTCCAAGTAATTCCGATGCGAAGACAAGATCAGAAATAAGGCAGAGGCGTCGACACACACCCTCAACCATCTGAGGCTGACCCCCTTTCTTTCCTCAAGTTCATCAGTTCGTGATTGCAGTTGGAAAATAGAAGAGGAAGAACGCAACTGTCCTGAGGTCTTATAGCCCTGGCATCATCAAATCATTTCTTCACCCTCTGCCTCATAACAAGAGAAGAAGAGGGAATCTGGGAAACTGTAACATACCAAACTTTCCAGTAGCAAAGAGTTTGGCCTACAGCGCCACCTCTCACAAACTGGCTAGCACTGAAACCTCCAATGACTTGACAGTAGCTTTTATCAACCTAGCACCCAGAGTTGAAGCCTAGTTTCACAACTGAAGCAAGACAGGACAAGAAGTACAAGTCAGGATACAGGATCAGTGAGTTTTTCCAATTTATTGGAAGAGATGTTTGCTTCCACTCAGAGCCACAAGAAGAAAAAAGCTAGTATTTACTGAAGACTTATTCTGTACCTTTGAAGTATTTTAGATATGAACTCATGGAATTCTAGCCAATCAGGGAGGAGAGTACTATTAATAGTTCTCAATTGACAGATGGGGACAGGGGCACAGAGGAATTCCATCAAGATTAGAAGACTCGGATGGCCCTTCTCACTACAGACATCTCCATACGTGTCTCACTATGGCTCGGGGACCTTGCAGGCAATCCATAGTATCACAGCTATTTTCATAATAATACTAACCAAGTGTTTATTTGCCCTCCGACTCATTCTCTCAGGAGTGCGCATAACCTGTACTACCACAGCTGACTGAAAGCAGAAGCAGAAATGGAACCCAGTTGTCTTTTACAATGCCAAGTAGTTTTCCAAAAGTATAGAGCAATGGCATCTTTCTTGTGGACTTGTTTTTTTTTCCCCTATAAAAATGCAGTAACTTTTCAAAATAAACTTGAGTTCATCATTTTTAATTAGTCAATAAGTCAGTATTTAAACTTTTCCCCCTCTTTCTTTTGGGGGGGAGGGGAAGCGGCTGGACCTGGGGAGTGGGCTGGGCTTGGGTGCTATCCCTGAGCTTGTGTGTTAGAGGCTGTTGCTTTACCGTTTGAGCCACAGCTCCACTTCCTAGAATACTTTTACCCCAAGGTATTCATTTCTCAAGTTTCTTAAGGGTATGGCTGGGATATTAGAAAGCACATCAAAATTAAACTGGCTCCAGGAACTGTGTCAGAACCAGGAAATAAGGCTGAAAAAAAACACTAAAACAGCAAAAAAAAAATGAAATCAGCTATTAAAGAATGAACAAGGACCTGGGAAGGTGGCTCAATGGTAGAGCGCTTGCCTTGCATGCATGAGGCCCTGGGTTCGATTCCCCAGCACCACATAAGCAAAAAGGAAAAAAAGCCGGAAGTGGCGCTGTGGCTCAGGTGGTAGAGCGCTCACCTTGAGCTGAAGAGCTGAGGGACAGCGCCCAGGCCCAGAGTTCAGGCTCCACAACCGGACCCCCCCCCCCCCCCAAAAAAAATGAACAAACCTACATTCCATTACCTTCTCCTTTTTCTTTCAGATTGGCTCCATGTTCATGCTGATTTTGAGTGCTGCAAATTGTTCGCACGCGCACACACACACACATACACACACTCCCTCCCAGCTCCCTCAACTCCTTTAGGCAGCTAGACTGCTTCTGACTCCAAGATTTCTGGTTCCCCTTGTGAATTTCTGTTCTTTTTTAGACTGAAGGAGAAAGGCCATGCTCCCATGAGTGGCCACTAATCTTCCCGGAAGCGTCTTTCCCAGACCAGAAATAAAGGGAAGAGGAGAGCTGTGCACTTTTTTGCAGCTTTCCTCTTTAAAGCACGCCCCTCCTGCACCCACAGGAGCAATGTATCGTCGCTATCAGCCAGCTTGGACAAAGTTAAAAGAACAAAACACCACCGTGGAGATACGAAGCCCTCATTTTGCTGTGCATGGCAAAAGAAATCTCTATGATGACTTTTTTTTTCTGGCCTTAAAAAAAATTGTCATTTAAAGAAAACACATTTGTGGAATACAGATGAGGTATTTGGCTTTAGCACGTATGTCCTTCGTTTAGGTAATTAGCAGAAACCCACCAGAGAGATCTAGAAAGAACAGCCACGCCAGTAGACCCAGCCCCACCCTGGCTTTTCCACATAGAACATCTGGAAGGCAAACAGGAAGAGCTACTCTGCCAGGGAGAGAAACAGAATCACAGGTAACTGGGCCCATAATGGCATTAGAGCCTTGAGATTCGTCTCGCTCTTTCTGGACTTTTCACTGGGAGTTTTCAGATATTGTTTGACAGAGCTAAACTTTTTTCCAGCCTTGACAAAATAATTGCTTCCATATCATAGCAGAATTTTTTTTTAAATACACAGCTCTGTATCTCGCTGACAATGATAAATTGTCACCAGATAATAGCATCTCACAAGCATTCTATGCCAGTAGTTGCATAGTTTGAAATGAAAATTTCCTAAATAGGGCTTCAATTTATATTTTTTCTGGCTCTTATCTTGGGCAGGGAATAGCTCATCTTTATTACAACTCCTGAAGACAGAGTTAACTTCTGAAATAGGTTACAGGTAGGAATTGTGAGCACAGACCTGCAGTAGACTGCATGGAAATCATGAAGTCTTCAAGAATCGATTGGATCAAGTGTGTCCAGAAAAAGGAACCCATGGTTCAATATGGAGGACATATCTGACCTCTGTCCAAACTTCTCTGGGTCAGAAATCTGGTTGGAAATCTCCTCAGGACAGACTGTATTTAATATACCTCAGAGGCAGTGCAGCTGGAGTATTTGCTGGTAGAAGCTGGCCTCCAGCTTGTCGATGATGGTAGAAGGCCGTTCATCCAGGGGGAAAATCTAACCTCATGTCTAAGCTGTGGAAGATACCACCTGAGACATTTGCACTCTCTAGATGAGAGGGTCCATTTTCCTTTGCAAAGTCATAGGGGAGACTGCGTGTTTCTGGACGTTTCTCCTTCAGATTTCAAATAAAGCAAACATTTGTTGATCTGGGGGTGTTTAAAAAGGGAAATTTATAAAGGCTATAGCTTAGTCTCAGTTCATGTTAAACTGAGCAGTCTCTTATCAAGCAGAGTAGACCGAGCACTAAAAGAGAAACTGGATTTGGTGGTACTGGGGTTTGAACTAAGGGCCTAGTGCTTGCTACGCAGGTTTACTACTTACGCCACACCTCCAGCCCCCAGATGAGAGAGTTCTGAGTTTCAGTTATGCTCACCACTGGTTCTCAGCTCTTGGGATACTCGGGTTCCTTCTCTATAAAATCAAAAGCTGCATTGATTACCTCTGAGACTCCTCGCCAGAGCCATGATTCTAGGCTTCAGCAAGACCTACACTCCTTGTTCTCTACATTCCAAACGGTTCTCACCGAGCAAACAAAAAGAGTGTATTCCCTCCCAGGAAAATTTCTTTTCCAGTGTGTCTCAAATCAGTCACAAGGGAAGAGGGGTACTGAATGAACCAGAACAAAGTACCCAGCCTGTGTTCCCCCACCACCACCTGAGACAGCCAAGTCTCCTACCCCACAGGCAGCAAACAAAACAGGCGGAGGCAGTCAAGAAACAGCATGCGTCACTTCATTAAAAGAATTAAAACTGGTAGCGGTTCAAAGCCGACATTGTGGGTAAAGAAACAGTCTGTACATTTGGGCTGCTGGTTTTGGCTGTAAGAGGGGTTGGCTTCAAGGCAATCTGTTGAGAGGCGTAGGGTTGTGTAGAGAGCTGATGGGGAATGTAGATGCCAAGTCTTCCCTCCTGTCAGGATGGGACAAATACAGTGACTGAAGATTAAGCCTAATCACGAATGGCCTCTCAAGAGATGCATGCAGTTCATTCAGTCTGCTGGGGCTGGGAGCCATTATTCCTACTGGCTCTCTTTCACCTTAAGAGTATTCAACTTCACTGAAGCAATTTAGAGAGATGGCAGGATGTGTAGAGGCTTCCAGGGACCACCTTTCTTTAAAAGCCTAAAAGTGATCAAGGCTTAAGAAAGTCTCATCACTAATACATGGTTTGGGGGACAAATCCAGTTATAGATAGTTTTGAGGGGTTCTCAGCAGTTATTTCTGGATGATTTAGAGTTACATGGACCCTGTGTGTGTGTGTGTGTGTGTGTGTGTGTGTATGCACGCGCACACGTGCACGCGTGCATGCACGCCAACTGGTCCTAGGGCAGGAACTCAGGGCAGTCTCCCTGAGCTATATTGCTCAAGGCTGGTACTCTACCACTTGAGCCACACATCCACTTCCAGCAGTTTTGGTAGACAATTAAGAGTCTCATGGACTTCCCTGACCGACTAGCTTCAAACCGCAATTCTCCTATCTGAGCCACCAGCACCGGCTCACATGTAAATATTTTTATAATCCAGTGAAAACTTTGAAGATAATGGAAAAGACTTATCAGTAGTCTAAATGTAAACCTCTTACTTTGGTATATAAAACAAAGCTGTTTTTATCCCTTGGACCAGAATTAAAGATGAAAATGTATTGGAAAGAAATGAGTATAAATAGCCTGTTCCTATGGGGACTGTATTCTTCGTGCTTTGTCTGTTGATTGCTTTTCAAACATTGGAGCTAGGATAAACAGCAAGCCACTGTCATGTTTTAAAATCGTTGCTGTAGAAATGCCTGTTACAGAACTTCCTAAAGAGGGCTTCCTATGGCCTCTGACTTACAGGACACTATGCCTTTTGCTTGGGAAATACAATAGTGCAACATACCGAATAAGTTTGGGTAACAATAATATCCAGTCTCACTGACTCTAAAACACTATCACTGATGTCAAGGTAAGACCAAACGGCAGCCCAGGCCTAAGTCCTGGATGTGACAGAAAGACCATGTTCGTGCAGAAAGACACTAGAGGGAAAGTCTTTGTGCTGGCTTTGCATTGGCTAAAAGGAAAGGCCAAACAAAAACTCCTAAAAACTTGAACCACAAACTGGAATTTTCAGGAGACTCAAAGATAGGTCACTAGAAATCAGTTACCCAACCTGATGCTGTACTGGTTGGCAAGAAGGAAAAATAATGAGTAAGGATAGCTTAAGACATGCTGTCTTCAAGCTAGCTTGACCCAGCATCAGGCAGCACAATTGATGCATTATTAAGCATCCGAGGAGTAGAAACAAATGGTCAGAAGACAAACTCAAAGACATACCAGCAGAGAACTTCCCATCCCTGGGGAAGGAAATAGAAAGCCCAATTTAGGAATCTCAGAGAACATCAAAGAAGATGAATCCAAGGGAACCCACACCAAGGCACAGCACGATCAAATTGTTAAATGTTAAAGGGTTTAAGGTAAAGCTCAGGTGCAAAGTATGTCTTAGCATGCATGAGGCCCTGGGTTTGGGGACAAATAAAAAGTTAAACACAATGTTGAAATGAGCAAGAGAAAGTGAATCAAAAATAAGGACACCCCTGCTGAGTATAGTAGTGGATTCCTCAGCAGAAACAATTCATTCATAATCTTGAAAGAAAAAAAAACCTTAGCAATCAGAATACTTATATACCCAGTAGCCTTGTCTTTCAAAAATGATGAAGTCTATCTCAAACAAGAGCTGAGTTTGGATTACCACTAGACCTGCTTACCAGAAATGTTATGGCAGGTCAAGCTAAAAGAAGAAGTGGTTACTGATTAGTAATGCAAAAACATAGGAAACGAAAAACTCCTGGGAAGTACACTGTGGAATCCAAAACAATGATAGGTAACTCAATTGTATCTCTAGTATAATGGTCAAAAGGCAAAACTATTTTTTTAAAGAAAACGAAAGCTACAACAATCTGTTCCAAGATACAAATTATAACAAGATGTGAAGTGTTAACATGAAAACCATAAAAGGTGAGGAGGAAAAGTAAAATGTATAGAATTTATACATCTGATTAAAATCACTACTTGTAGATATAAAAGTAGGATGCCAAATGTACTAATTTGCTAACTTACTTATTTGCTACCTACATTACACAGACCAACTTTTAGCTGAAAAGCTGCTATCAACACAGCTTTGAGTTCTCTCCAATTGAAAATATATTTACTCTCAAATCAGGTACATTCAACGTGTTCAAGAGACTAATCTTCCCATAAAAGATACCTCAACATTTCTTATTGTTATAAATATATATATATTTTTTCTTCTTCTTCTTGGGCTGGATCAACGCTCAAGTCAGCTATCAATTACACATTTATAATACTGTCCCTTGTATCAGTCATAGAAAAATGTTCTTCATTCATAAAGAGCCATGAAAAAGAATCATTTGTTAGCCATGAAATCTGATATAAGAGATCTAAGTACCTTTTACCCACCTGCGCTGAGAATCCACAGAAGAAACCGAACCAGAAATGCACAAGTGTGAACGCAAAGTTCTTGTAGAAGAAATAGCATAGGAACTTGCACATCCGGAAGTAGGACCACCTTCCATGAACGAACAGGAGCCTTTGGAGATACCGGAACTGTGCAAATGAATAGTCACTGGCTAAGACAGCTTGCAGTCCTTCCTGGCCGCTGATGCCAACGCCAATATGAGCACCTATGACGCAAAAGAGGAGAAGTTTGGGTCCCAGAACAAAGATACAATATCCTTCCTTCTTTTGTTTCTTTGTTTCCAGTACTGGGCTTTGAACTCAAGAACCTTGGCTCTATCCCTTAGCTTTTTTGCTCAAGACTAGTGCTCTACCACTACTTGAATCGCAGCTCTTCTTCTGGCTTTTCCCTACTTAATTGGAGAGAAGAGTCTAACAGACCTTCCTGTCAGAGGCAGGCTTCAAACCACAATCCTCAGACCTCACCCTCTTGAATAGCTAGGATTACAGACATGAGCCACTAGTGTCTGGCTGTTAATATCTTTTGGGAACTTAATATTTCTCTTTTAGGACATTTATTTATTGAAACCTTCTAACTACAGCAATTCTGGTTGTTTTTTTTTTACATATATTCATGAAATACAGTAGTTGTTTACCCTAGTTTTACATAAGAGGGAAATTGGATTCAGGAAAGTTCAGTAACTTACATGAACTCTATTTCTAAGTAGCACCCACATGTTGTTATTTACCTCCGGTTCTCTTAACCACATGGCTGCTTTTATGTCCCCAAATAGTCAAAGCTGACCCAGGGCATTTTTCTAGCCTAAAAATACACAAAGGATTTAATTAAAGAAAAAGCAAGCCAGGCATAGGTGGCTCATTTCTGTAATCCTAGCTACTTAGGAGGCTGACTTCTGAGGATTGTGGCTCGAGGCCAGCCCAGGTAAGAAAGTCCATGATGCTCTTATCTCTAATAAACCAGCAAAAAGCCAGAAGTAGAGGTGTGGCTCAAGAGGTAGAGCACTTGCCTTGAGCAAAAGAAGCTTAGGGGCAGTGCCCAGGCCCTGAGTTCAAACCCCAGGACCAGGGGAAGCACAGCAAAATCAATATGGTGTATATGACACACTACCAAATTCTGAACCCACAGACTCAATGTAAGTAACGTACTGGACAGAGAAAATACTCACTTACTTGTGTGTGTGTGTGTGTGTGTGTGTGTGAGTGAGAGAGAGAGAGAGAGAGAGAGAGAGAGAGAGAGAGAGAGAGAGAGAGAGAGAGAGAGAGAGAGAGATTCACCTCATTGACTTTAATGAGTCAATAATCAAGGTAATAATAACCACAGGGCCAGAAGACATGGGATAAAAAGTGTCCATGACATAGCATTATCTGCTTACTTTTAATCATGCTGACATCATTGGCTCCATCGCCGATGGCCAAGGTCACGGCATTTCTGTACTTCTTTACCAGCTCTACTACTTGGGCTTTCTGGAGTGGTGTAACTCTGCAGCAAACCACAGCCCTACACATGCAGGCAAGCTCCAAGAGACCATTCTTCATGTCGCTTTCTAGTGCATAGGCCTGTGTTATTGAAAAACAAAATCCAGGAAAGAACATATCACAGTATGTGACAGCTGTAATCCGGGATGTGTGTGTGTGTATGCGTGTGTGCATGTGTGTGTGTGTGTGTGTGTACATGTGTGTGTACACTCAGGCTTGATCTCAAGGCCTAGATGCTTGTCCCTTAGCTATTTCCCTCAAGGTTGGTGCTCTATCATTTGAGCTCTACTTCTAGGTTTTTGATGGCTAATTGGAGCTGAGCCTCATGGACTTTCAGACTGGTTTCCAATCCTCGGATCTCAGCTGCCTGAGTAGCTAGAATTACAGGTGTGAGCCACCAGCACATAGCTTACATGTCTTTTTTTTTTTTAAACTTTTATTCTAAACCATTGTATTCACTGCAACAAATAATTATTGACCCAGAATCACACAATCAAGTGAAGAAATGAGTATGAAACTCCTAGTCAACACGAAGGAATTTTTAAATAATAATCTTTGAATAAGCAAGAAAAGATCTCACTGTTTAGAAGGATCTACAAGTGATGATTACTGGGCTGTTGTCTGTGATGGGCTTTGTTGGTTCCCTTGCGCTGTTGTTTTTGTGTTGTAGCATTTGTTGTGCTTGTTAATTGCAGGCAAGAGGAGCAGCAGATCAGATGCACATTGTTCCTTGAAGAGTACCATGGCTGCTGCCAGGTGAGGCTTAAAAAAGCAGGCTGTGCATCCTGCATCTCAAGCAGACTTCCCACCCCGTTGGACACTGGCTAAGTCCAAGTGCATAGAACAGTTAGATATGCTAAGGGAATGCTGAAAAACAATATAATCCCTTCCCATGTAACCATGTAATTCTTTTTCTAGAAAACACGTCATGCTATCTGTCTTGGGAGGGGGCAGTACTAGGCCAGGCGTTTGAACTCCAGACCCCATGCTGGTTAGCCTGACACTTGGCCATGCAAGTCATTGTGCCAGCCCTGTTTCTCACTGATTAATTTTAGGATAGGTTCTTGCTTCCCAGGTGAGCACATGCCAGAGGCACAATCCCCCTACGTTTAAGTTTCCATCAGTGGGATGAAGGGTGCATGCCGCCATGTCTAGCTTGGAGTCTTGGGAACTTTTCTGTCCAGGCTAGCCTCGATCCTGCAGATGCCTGGAGAGCCTGATCTCAGCCTCACAAGTAGCCAAGATTAGAAGCACGCCCCGCTTTCTTATATACTTTCAAATGAAGACAATAAGAGGAGTTAACAGGAATCCAAACATCTCTAAGTGAATCTTCAAGCAAACACTCTCTCAGCCAGCTGCCTATACTTGTGAGTTTTATCTTCTGAACCCGGCCATTTTAAGTCCATTCATCACTCACATGTCACCAACTCGCTTGTTTCCCGTGATTTAATATGGTTTATTTTGCTTTGGTGCTTTTATTCTTATTGTTATTTCTATTTGCAAACATCACTTGCTCCAGAAAGCTTTCTCTGTTCACTCTACAAGATGAGATTTGTCTTTCTCTAAGCAGACACAGAGCATTGTAGCCCTTCCTCTTTTTTTTTTTTTTTTGGTCGGTCGGTCATGGGGCTTGAACTCTGGGCCTGGGCGCTGTCCCTCAGCTCTTCAGCTCAAGGCGAGCTCTCTACCACTTGAGCTACAGCGCCACTTCCGGTTTTCTAGTGGTTTATTGGAGATAGGAGTCTCACGGTCTTTCCTGCCCGGGCTGGCTTTGAACCTCCATTCTCAGATCTCAGCCTCCTGAGTAGCTAGGATTACAGGCGTGAGCCACCAGCGCCCGGCTACCATTCCTCTTTTATAATGATTTTCATACCAGTGGACAACAATTGCCAGGGCAAGGATTCCAACTCCTATCTTTAACCTCGGGCTTTAGCACTGTGATCTGGACGTGCTTAATAAGTGCTAATGAAACAACTAGGTGGCTGAATATAAAGAAAACATACTCTAGTCTAGAAAATTCTCATCTCCAAGCCTATTCCCAGAGGAAATACCGATTCAGAAGTCTCAAATTGTACTGAGCCTTCCTGAACTGGCTGCGTTATTTAGCATCGCCAGTGGGCTCTCTACTCTTTCTTCTTGAGGATCAATAAGTAAAAAAGAAAACTAGAGTCAGACTTGGAGAAAGAGAGGTCCAATTACATTACAAAGCATCAGGATCTGGGCCAATTATAGAGTCACCATTTGAAATAAAACAACAAAAAGAATTCTAACCATACTTGCAGAAACAGTTGATTTCCTTACATGGGAAGAGACCCTTCGCATCAGGATTTGAAGCTAAGGGAGTAGTCCTGCAAAGCATCGATTTAGCACCTTGAGAAAGACAGAGACAGAGAAAGATGGAGACAGACAGAGAGGGAGACAGAGACTGAGAGACAGATTGAGAGAAAGACAGCTAGAGGAGAGAGAGATTGAGGTAGAGACACACAGACAAGAGAGAGACGGAGATGAGAGAAAGGCTAAGTTATCACCTGACTGCTCCCACCCTACCAACACATGGCTTTCTTTGAGCCTGAGGTCAAACCCAGCCTATTAGGGCTCTTGTCTATATTGCTGTCTCTGGGCAGCTCAGCCTGAGGCTTCCAGTTGTAAATCCCAGATGACAGCCTTCAAATGCTCAGTTGCTGTTCATCTGAGCAAGGGAGAAGTTCGTGTCATCTGGACAAACTTTCAACGGAGCTTGGCCTGCAGAGACGCTCTGTAACTTTCCATGGTGTAGAAGGCAACATGTTAGGTCTGCAGTCCAGCTGGAGAACTCTGAGCTCTAAGAGCTAGCAGACAGATGATCACAAGGGAGGGGGAAAAATACAATATACTCACATCCAACTTCTTTTGTCCTCTAAGAAACTTTCTACAAGAAGAAACATTTTATTTTTTTCCCCAAAGTTGAAAAAAGAATCATCAAAGCCAAAGAAAGATGTGAGATTAGTTCTTTGTGCACATAAATGATAATTTCACTAGAGTGCAATCGGACCTTTTGTATTCTAAATTAGAAACCAAGAGGAGTGTTTTGATTTTTTTTTTTGTTCAAGACTTGGAACCTGAACTACATTAAAAGTACAATGCAAGTTTATTCTATTATGACAAAAACCAGATTTCCTAATCAAAGCAAATTGTTTGGCCTGGCTACAAAATGCTGCTATTTAGAAAAAAAAAACCACCAGAGGTATCTGAATGGCAATAATTTGGTGTGGTAATTATATGAAGGTCAGGCTATGCTGTGCAAATCACAGACATTAGCAAGAGCAGTAATTGCAATTCATCCATCCAGTTGCATTTACTTTAATTAAATAACACCAAGCGGTGACACTCCCCCATCCTTGGAAAAGCACTTAAATAATATGGCTAAGTGCTTTGCAGTCATTTGGACAAGATTGATACTCTGTGAATACAGTATTTCTTCAGACTCTCTCTTTGCTGTGACGGTTTAAACAATAATGTATGAAATATATATTAGAGGTTTCCTTTTTCCTTTGCAAACAGGAAACGGTTGTGTATGGCCTATTTCTCCTAGTGCCATTTGAGAAACACACTCACACACACACACACAGTTCTCATTATGACAACACAAAAGAGATGATTATGGGGATAAAGTAAAAGGACAAAAGCCTGAAGCGAACTCACCAAACTGTGGCCATTTATGACTAAGGCATAATCTCCCGTTACACTGTCTTCTGCTGCGACAGATTTCAGTTCTAGTGGCTGCTGCTTTTCACAGAGTCCCTGGCTATCCAAAATGTGCTGGCTGCGTCCAAACAAAAGTTCCTTCGCTGTCCTTAAAGAACAAGGGCAAGAAGAAAGAAAACACTGTAAGGAAGTACATAGAGCCTATCTACAACTCCAGAGGCAAACTCTCATTTTCCTGCTATTCAAACACAGCTTGGCACAAGATCCAGTGTGAGCAAGTCACCTGGGTAGTTAGTGCCGGGTGATGGGGGGAGGGAGGCTGGAGCAGATGTCTATCTTCCAGGATATACGTGGGGGAAACAAAATGAACACAGAATCTTCTCCATTGTTTTATATTACCTGACAGGTTACCACCATTTTGAGCTGGGTTTAACTAGGGAAGCTTGGTAGATTTGTTGTACATCAACACTGTCTTAAAACAGCAGTCCTCTGAGAAACACACGTGTGTGTGTGTGTGTGTGTGTGTGTGTGTGTGTGTGTGTGTGTGTGTGTGTGTGTGTGTGTACATACTAGGGATTGAACTCAGAATCTGAGCACTATTTTTGAGCTTTTTCACTCAAGGCTGGTGCTCTACCACTTGAGCCACAGCTCCATTTCCAGCTTTTTCATGGTTAATTGGAGATAAGAGTCTCACAGACTTTTGTACCCCGTGCTGGCTTTGAACTATGAGCCTCAGATCTCAGCCTCTTTTTTTCCCCCCAGTTATAGGGTTTGAACTCAGGGCCTGGGCACTATTCCTGAGCTCTTTTGACGTAGGCTCATGCTCTACTACTTTCTGTTTTTTGGGGTGGTTAATTGGAGACAAGAGACCCATGACTTTGAACCTTGATCCTCAGATCTCAGACTCCTTAGATAGGATTACAGGCATGAACTCCCACACTGGGCTTGAGAAACACATTTAAAAAATGGTAATAAGAGCAAATGATGGCATGTATTAGTTATTAAATGTGTACGCAGTCTCAAGCAATAGGATTGATCCTCTAGGAAAGAAACTACAGACACCCCAGTGCATAAGGGCTGGTCCACATGGAAACTTTACCAATGCTCTCGATTAAATTAGTGGTACTGTGCAACAATCCTGCCCACATCCTATCCATCTCTTGCACTTAAGAGAAAGCTTACATGGTGACAAAAAATCCTCAGAAGTGGCATTTTAGTGTTCTCTTCATCATGCAAAGATGATGCCTTTAAGGGAAAGGAAATTCCCTCTGTGAAGACCCCTGGGTGACAGGCTTTGAAGTAATCTAGGACAAGCTGAACTAACCACAAAAGCTTCAACCACAACCAGAGATCTACCAGCAGATACACTTGCATGTACGAACTGAAGGCTCAGAAAAAGTGGGGTACAAGAGCTGGGAAGGTGACTTAGTGGTAGAGTGCTTGCCTCACATGCATGAAGCCCTGGGTTCGATTCCTCAGTCACATACACAGAAAAAGCCAGAAGTGGAGTTGTGGCTCAAGTGGTAGAGTGCTACCTTCAGCCAAAAAAAAGCTCAAGGACAGTGCCCAAGCCCCAAGTTCAAGCCCCAGGACTGGCAAAAAAAAAAAAATGTGGGGTATGAAAACCTTATTCATGAGTCATATGCATATGTACACAAACAAATGAATTCAAGTATGGTAGACTGGGGGAGGATTCCAATGGTTTGCCTCCTTTGAACAACAAACAAAATGAATGCTAAGAAGCAAAAGCACGTTTTATCTGGGTTGGGGGGCACACATGGAAAGAGATAAATACAGTCATAATATTCAATATACAGATATGACAGGAGAACCAAGTAATTGGGGAGGGGTGGAGTTGGGAGAGAGGGGGGGGAGATTGATAGAAAGGATGACACTGACCAAGATGCTTTGTCCTAAACAGGACTGTCAAATTGAAACCTTCGTACAGCTACTCAGTAAAAGAGAGGGAGGGAGAGAAGAAAATGAGTAGTGAGAAAATAAACTACATCACAGATATTTGGGCTTATGGCAAAATGGATTGGCTCCATAAAGACCCATCCAACACAGAAAACATTTATTAACAGGGATTAATGCAGAGACTCCTCTGATAGAAGAGAATTATCACCATATTAAAGCCAAGCAATAAGCTGTTTTCTAATTATTGGTAAGTGTCACACTAACTATTTACATACTTATAAGCAAAGACAGCAGCAATAACAACTTTTTTAATCCCAACCTACCTACCTCCCCCCCCCCCCAAAAAAAAAATAACCAAACTTCACAACCAACCAACCATCTTATCTTCTGGTTCAACATTTCCTTCTGCTTTTCAAGAGCAAAAACTCACATCCACATTTAGAAACCCAGAGGTCATATGACCTTTGGTCCTACGGATGATAGCATCTATTTAGTAAGCAGTTTGCAGGACCAAGGGAAAAGATTTATAAAGTCAGACGGCTATGTGTGAAATTTAGGGAGTTATAAGAGTCAGGAGGAGATGGAGAGCAGACATGAAAAAAAAAAATCACTATTTGAGATGTGGGAGGGTCAGACTTTCCTAGCAGATAATCATGTCAGGGAATTCCCCCCCCTCACAGCTTTGAAAATTTACAGTCCCATATAATAAAGAAAGCAATGGAGGCAAGTTCCTGGGAAAAGGAGATTTGCTCTGACAGTACTGCAGAGCCCATAAATTGTGCCCTAAAGAAGCACAAGGAAAACATCTCCCGAGGTTTCCTTTTTAGTAAAGTTCTCGTGTGTGCATAAATGACTCAACCTCTGTCTTTCCCCCCTCCCCCAGAATGAGAACATTCCGAAGGAGGATGAAGGTCATGAACGTATTGGCTGAAATACTATTTACTTAGGATTCCCCCTCAAAAAAACAAAAACAAAGACACATCTTCCTAACATCTGACCTGAGCCCTTTTCCAGGCAGAAAAGGGACTGTTGGGGTTTTTCTTTTCTTTTCCAGCTCTCTCTTTTTCTTTAAACAGCCAGTGGTCTTTCCTCGCTGGCCGGCACTCCCTGCCCGAGCGGGGGGCCTGCTTGTCAGACATTTACTCCTGTTCTGTAGCTGCCATTTCTTTTTCTCCCTGCAATGGAGCTCTCCAAACACCAGCTGGTTCTTGCAAGAACAATTTATTAGGGAAGTGGCAGGGGGAGCCGCGCAGAACTCGCGCCGGAGGATATAGTGTGTCTTTGCAGGCACACTACACAGTGCTTGACCACAGAATACGAATCACGAGTGCTAAAACAAAAGAATGTCTGTTCTGCCAGCTCTGTCGTGAAGAGGCAGTTCCGAACAGTGCTGGCATGCAGAAACATGAACAGCCTGAGCGGCCGCTGGCCTTCACAGCCCTGTGCTCTAACAAGCACAGGAAGGTACCGGGAGAAGCCGCTGAGGGAGTCCATGCAGCTTCTAAAGGGAGTAAGATGCAGGGAATAAGTCATTCTGTGGCATTGTTTAAGGAAATCTCTATTCAAATACCAGAAGGATCTGGTAGGCGCTGGATTAAAATCAAGATACAACCTTAAAAAAAGTCAGTGTGGGGTTTGATACAAAAACTAAAGCTCTGGGCTTAAGAGACCCAGGTTCAGATCCAATGTCTTCCTCCCACAGCAGAGAAGTAGCTGCAGTTGAATTGTGTGACTACTAGCCACTTGATTATTTGGTATCAGAACCAGGCCTAGAACTCAAGGACATTAATTTCTAGTTCTCCATCTACCACACAAAACTAGCTTATCCATATAGCCAGCCAGAGTTTGGAATAAAATGACAGCAAGAGGGACAACAAAAACTACATCACACCTGTAACCCTAGCTACTCAGGAGGCTGAGATCTGAGGATCACCGTTCGAAGCCAGCCTGGGCAGAAACATCCCTGAGACTCTTATCTCTAATTAATCACACACAAAAAAGCCAGAAGTAGAGCTGTGGCTCAAGTGGTAGAATGTAAGCCTTGAGCAAAAGAACCTCAGGGACAGTGCCCAGGTCCTGAGTTCAAGCCCCACAACCCACGCCAAAAAAAAAAACAAAAACAAAAAACCCCAACTTACTTCACACTCTGGCCATAAAAGAAATACAAATCAAAACAACATTGAGATTCCAACTCACCCATTAGAATGGCTATAATCAAGAACTCTAATAACAACAGATGCTGGAGGGGATGTGGCCAGAAGGGAACCCTACTGCATTGTGGGAGGGTAAACTTGTTCAACCACGCTGGAAAGCAGAATGGAAGTTCCTCAAAAGATTACACACAGATCTCCCCTATGACCCAGCAATCCCACTTCTGGGCATTTACCCAAGTGATCACAAACAAGGCCATGTTAAATCTACCAGCACAACTATGTTTATCGCAGCATTATTCACCATAGCTAAGATATGGAACCAACCCAGATGCCCCTCAGCAGATGAATGGATCAAGAAAGTGTGGTATATATATATATATATACACATACACATAAACATACACACAGGTGTGCACACACACACACACACACACACACACACACACACACAGTGGAATTCTATGCTTCCATCCAAAACAATGACACCGCCCCATTTGTAAGGAAATGGAAAGACTTGGAAAAAAAATCATATTAAGTGAAGTAAGCCAGGCCCAAAGAAACATAGGTCCCATGGTTTCCCTTATTTGCAATAACTAGTATACATCTAAGATAATCTTAGCAGATGAGCAGAATAGCTCAATAGCTATGTACATGTGACCATATAAGATGATGCTAAGCGAAATGATCTCTAAGACACAAGAGGGTTTTTCTTGGTTGTTGTTGTTGTTAATACGCTATGTGATTTTTTTGTTTCTTTTGTATGTTCTTCTCCCTATCATGTATCCCCTGTTGTCACTGTATTTGATTTTTGTACATACGTTTATTTGAACTAGGGAAGGAAGGTGAACAGCAGAACAGTAAGACAAAGAGGAGGGGGACCCAATGCAACAGCGATATACACAAGACAGGTATGTTGGTAATGATCTGTACAACTTGAGGGTGGGGAGTGGGGGGGAAGGAAAGCAGGAGAAAAATGAGGGAAGGGGTAACAAGTTTGGCAAGAAATGTACTTATCACCTTACTTATGCAACTGTTACCCCTCTGTACATCACCTTGACAATAAAAAATAAACATTTCTTTCACACACACACACAAACCCTGCATCGTTACCATGCTAATAGTAGAGGAAATCAAGTACATGAAATGTTGGCTAAGCCCCAATTGTACCATCCCTTACTATCTAGAAAACCTGTAAGTTACCCAACCCCAGGAACACATTCATTATTAGAACTATGAGAATGGGCCAAGCTGATCCGATCTCAAGATAATTAAGAACCAAGTTGTATTCTATTTGGCTCATACGCTGTTTTAAATTATCTGTATGACCTTGATGGCCAATGTGAAGATTTCTCCACACCTCAGCCTGACATCTTATAATGGCCCAGATCACACCCTGACCACCTTACCTACCCAATCCTGGAGTTATGCATATTTGACAGTGCTGAGCTAATTATCCAAACAGAAAACTTTATTCAAGAAAATACCAATGCCCATTTTGTTGCTTGAAAGAGAAAAAAATCACTTGCTAGAGTAGAACTGGCACACTTCTCAGAAGCAGTAGTCATTTCCTGATTTAATGAGTTAAGAGGACAAGAGGGGCTGGGAAGGTGGCTCAGTGGTAGAGCGCTTGCCTTGCATGCATGAGGCCCTGGGTTCAATTCCTCAGCACCACATAAGCAGAAAAGGCCGGAAGTGGCGCTGTGGCTCAAGTGGTAGAATGCTAGCCTTGAGCTGAAGAGCTGAGGGACAGCGCCCAGGCCCAGAGTTCAGGCCCCACGACTGACAAACAGACAAACAAAAAACAAAGAGGACATGAATTTTTCTAATGTTAAAATGTGATCAAAAGTGGGCACCGGCCAGGCACCGGTAGCTCATACCTGTAATCCTAGCTACTCAGGAGGCTGAGATCTGAGGATCGCAATCCAAAACTAGCTCTGTAAGGAAAATCTGAGAGATTCTTATCTCCAGTTAATTGGTGCTGTGGCACAAGTGGTAGAGCATTGTCTTTAAGCAACAACAACAACAACAAAAAAAAATCAGGGACAACACCCAGGCCCTGAGTTCAAACCCTAGGACTCACACACACACACACACATTCATACACACACACAAAATGTGATCAACTGAAATACAGAATTATCAGGGCAAACAAAATTACACTCAGTCTTCTTCCTTGGGCGGAAAACATACATACGTATTGGTAAAATGTAATCAATTGTAGCAAACATCTGAGAACCTATAGCAATTTAATTGTGGGTTTCTGGACATGTTCTTAAAGCTGCAGCAGCTAATGCAGTAAAACGAAGCCAGGAATCCAAGTGTCTAAGACAGTTTCAAGACACTAAATTTGAAACAAGCCGTATGTATAATATGTATGAAAATTACATATCCATGTTTATGGCATACTCTAAACACATTTGACAGGTTTAAATAGAAGCATTTAGGTCATTTCCTTCCAATAGCTACTATCACTCAGATCCTGGTCTTTTGATACATTTTTGGTTTTTTTTTTTTTGCATGAACTTTCTCTGAACTCAAAAGCATAACACAAGAAAATGGAATGGTACGTATTTATGATTTCAGTAGTTCATCCCCAAAACTAGGGGCTTAGATAGTAATAGTCACAATTAGGAGTATATCAAGCATAGCTTTTATTCCCCCAATCCTAATATTCAGCACATCTATCCAATAAATGTATTGATTCCTCTATTAAAGAATTTGCTATCATATACTGTCTGTCTGTCTTGGACTGACTTAATTAATTGGTTAACTTCTAAGTCAAGGTTGAAATAAACAGTGTGTGCCAGTCAGCTGAGCAAGATGGCTTCCAGGGTTGTAGAATACTGAATCTAGGTAAAAATGCTTCACTTCTTTTCCTTTTATTTTTTCCTTTTTATTGAAAACAAAATGAGGGACTAGATGTAGCTCAGCAACAGACGCTTGTCTATCAAGTGCAAAGTCCTGGGTTCAATCCCCACTACAAAATAAGACCAAAAAAAAAGTTTAAGGAAACATTGTAGCTTTTTTTCCCTAATTGTAAAAGCTAAGCATAAACACTACTACCATCACCTGGTGCACATCACCTGGACAGAACCCCTGAATGTTTTCCAAGGCTTAATTGTTGTGTGGATTGGCATATAGTGCTTGATGAATATAAATACACAGACATACTTCTTATGTACTATATGCATGATGCAATCTCATTTATCACTTATCAGATATATCATGGACATCTTTCAAGGCCAGTAAGTAACTACACAAACAGTTTGATTACATAGTATTCCATTGTGTGTATATGTGTGTGTGTGTGTGTATATATATATATATATATATATATGTACATGTGTATGTATATGTATACTTCTGTATATGTATGATAAATAATAGTATTTAACAAAATTCTTCACTGTTGGGAATTTAAACTATTTCTCATTTCTTATTATATCTATTAATAAATACATTCCTATATGAATATTTATACATTTCTTTTTTTAATTTTCAAATTTTTTCTTTACTGATACCTCGTTTGAACTCAAGGCTTCATACACATACACACACACACACACATATTTGGTTTTTTTGCCAGTCACAGGGCTTGAACTCTGGGCCTAGGCGCTGTCCCTGAGCTCTTCAGCTCAAGGCAAGCGTTCTACCACTTGAGCCACAGCACCACTTCCAGTTTTCTGGTGGTTAATCAGAGATAAGAGTCTCATGGGCTTTCCTTCCCCAGCTGGCTTTGAACTGTGATCCTTAAATCTCAGCCTCCTGAGTAGCTAGGATTATAGACATGAGCCACCAGCACCCGACTTTTATTTATTTCTTTCTCTTTGTTTGTTTGTTTCTTTATTTCTTTTCTTTTCTTTCTCTCTCTCTTTCTCTCTCTCTCTTTTTCCTTCCTTCCTTCTTTCTTTCTTCTTTCTTAAAGGAAATTCCTAAAAGCAGAATTCACTAGTATAATTTGGAGATCTATTGGTATTTTGCCCTCTAGATAGTTTCTACTCATTTATAAATTACGGTTAATCTTGTTGGTCATCTTGAATGGGCTTAGAGATGTCTTAGAAATTAATTAAGCACACTTCTGGGTATGTCTCTAAAGATATTTTGAGAGATGATAAGAATATGAGGTCTCTGACCTATTGATCTTATGCAAGAGTTTTATACATGAGTGAATTTAAAAATCTGTATACTTTTAGAAGGTAGCAGAGCTGTAAAAGTTGGTCTGGTTGGAAGAAATAAGTCATTGGGCATGTGGGGTGGGGTGGGGGGGTAATCATGCCTCGCCCCTTCTTGTCTCTGGTCCTCTGCTTCCTGGCTGCTATGAATTGAATAATCTACTCTACTATGCCCCCTTCCCATGATATATTGAAACCATGAGCTACTCAGAAGGTCCTTCTTCACTAAACTGGTTCTGTAGGAGGCCGTTAATATCTATGAGAAAATCTGGATATCACAGAGTCCAAACAACTCCATAAGCAATACAGTTTCCTCCACATCTCTCCTCCATAACAAGAGCTAGGCCATCTATTCAGTTAACCAAATGGATAGTAGCAGGGTGAAATCTTGAGATGGGAACTCAACCCTAACTCTCCAACCACAGTTCACCTTCTCTACTCAGAAACCTTCCTTACCTCTGGGGAAACAGGCCAAACACAGAGGCAGAGGTGTTGAATTCTTACGTTTTAGGCAGCAAAATTGACTCTTGGATTTATTCTGAACTCCAGCCATCTGGAATTTCACTAATTGAGCTTTTTGAGAAGCAAAGAAAAAAAAATAATAAAAGTATTGTCCAAGTCTCAACTCCAAGCCTGTGCTCTACCAATTGAGCCACATGGAGACTTCTGGCTTTTTGATGTTTAATTGAAGCTAAGCACGCTCATGTATTTTTCTGCCCAGGCTGACTTTGAATCATGATCCTCAGGTCTCAACCTCTGGTAAAACTAAGATTACAAATGTGAGCCTCTGATTTTGCTTCCCACCCCTTCCCTTTAACACTTACCTGAGTTCTTCTCTGACTTCTGCTGCAGTGTTACCCGCAATCACCAGCACATCGTTCATGTCATCAGTCAGCAGGTTGCAGGCATAGCCGATGTTGATGGCAGTTTCTGTAATAAAATAAAGCCACCTCTGGTTAAAAAACAACAACAACAAAAAAACTATTAAATAAGCCTAGTTCTTGGAAGTGGCGCTGTAGCTCAAGTGGTTGAGTGCTAACTTTGAGCTGAAGAACTGAGGGACAGTGCTCAGGCCCAGAGTTCAAGCCCCACAACCAAAAAACAAAAAAGACTAGTTCTTGGGGGGGGGGGGGGGGAGTGTGTGTGTGTGTGTGTGTGTGTGTGTCTTCATATCAAAGTGAGCGCTCTACCACTTGCGCTACAGCACCACTTCTGGTTTTCTGTTAGTTTATTGGAGATAAGAGTCTCATGGACTTTCCTGCCTGGGCTGGCTTTGAACCATGATCCTCAGATCTCAGCCTCCTGAGTAGCTAGGATGACAGGTGTGAGCCCCACTGGCGGCTGGCTAGTTCATCTCTTTTTGAAGCCATAATTGTACATTTTCTTAGAGCCTACATATCTTGTTAATATTAAAGACCACAGGATGACTGGCAAAACACAGTGACCCAGAAGGCAAGTCAAAGACCTGGTTTCCAAGCCGGGCGCTGGTGGCTCACGCCTGTAATCCTAACTACTCAGGAGGCTAAGATCTGAGGATCGCGGTTCAAAGCCAGCCCGGGAAGGAGAGACTGTGAGACTCCTATCTCCAATAAACCACCAGAAAACCGGAAGTGGCGCTGTAGCTCAAGTGGTAGAGCGCTCGCCTTGAGCTGAATAGCTGAGGGACAGCGCCGAGTTCAAGCCCCACGACCGACAAAAAAAAAAAAAAAAACCTGGTTTCCATGATCAAAGTCACGACTTGCTCAACCCATGGAGAAGGAAGAACCTCTCTGAATCTTCTACTTATCTAGTTTTTAAAAATGCCTACACAGCCAGGTGCCAGTGGCTCACACCTGTAATCTTAACTACTCAGGAGGTTGAGATCCTATGATCACTATTTGAGAACAACCTGGACAGAAAATCCCTAACCAAGGGGCTGGGAAGGTGGCTCAGTGGTAGAGCGCTTGCCTTGCATGCCTGAGGCCCTGGGTTCGATTCCTCAGCACCACATAAGCAAAAAGAAAAAAGCTGGAAGTGGCACTGTGGCTCAAGTGGTAGAGCGCTAGCCTTGAGCTGAAGAGCTGAGGGACAGCGCCCAGGCCCAGAGTTCAGGCCCCACGACCGGACCCAAAAAAATAGAAAAAAGAAAATCCTTTACCAAGACTCTTACCTGCAATTAACTACAAAAAAAAAAAAGCCCAAAGTGGAGCTGTGGCTCAAGTGGTAGAGTACTAGCCTTGAGCAAAAAGCAGCTCAGCTCAGCAACAGTGCTCAGAACCTGAGTTCAAGCCCTAGGAGCAGCAAAAATAAAAAGTCTCCAGATTCTCAAATTAGTATTCACAAAGACATCTTAAAATCTCATAACTGAACAGTGTGATAACAATGATAGATTTATGACCAATTAATAATTTGATGAAGATATAGAGAATTGATTTACCAAACCTATAAATTCCTCAATGCCCCCCAAATCATCTATCAACTGAACAGAATTTCTAAAACAAGTGTATGACAATTGAATATTTTGGTTTACATATGGCCAAGCATAAAATACTTATTATTTTAATTATTACTGCTAGTAACCAATCAAAATATAGTGATCCCTTTTGCTTTCTTAGGAAAACCATATTCTACACACAATACCTTAATATTTTGTTGTTGTTAAAAATGAGTCCAAGCCTGGCACCAGTGTCTCACATCTGTAATCCTAGCTACTCAGGAAGCTGTGACCTGAGGATCATGTTTCGAAGCCAGCCAGGCATTAAAGTCCCCATGAGGCTCTTATCTCCAATTAACCACTCAAAAACCAGAAGTGGAGTTGTGGCTCAAAGTGGTAGAGCGCTATCTTTGAGCAAAGAGCTCAGAGACAGCACCCAGGCCCTGAGTTCAAGCCCTGCAACCACCACCAACAAAAGAATCCAGTCTCATTGTACTACTGTGTGTATAATCCCAGGATCTAACAATTATGCTGGTACAGCTATAGTGGCTGTTAAAATACTAAAATCCATCCATGAGCAGAGGCTTCCCTAAGTCTCCCCAAAGCTCACCTGTCACTCTTATCTCTCCCAAAAGATCTTCCAAAAACTCCTACCAGCAAGAAACCAGAGGAGTAACCAGAGATGCCTAATTCTCTGCTTAGTACTGAGTTGACCTCTCTCTAGGTTGGAGACAGTGATCACAGGAACCAATTGTTAAGTATTTTTAATACCTTTGATCCTTACAGATGGAAAAGACTACTGGCCTGAAATTCTATTAACTTTAAAACAGACTACAGGAAGTATTTTAGTTTTTGGCCTTGTTTTTACACAATAAATTCTTGCTGTATATTGGCTTTCTTCTTTTTTTGTATTTCAAATTTCCCTCATATGAACAATTAGAGGAATATCCAATGCGGATTTCTGTTCAATTAAAATTTTACTACAAGCCAATGCTGATGGTTCACATCTAATCCTAGCTACTCAGGAGGTTGAGATCTGAGAATCGTAGTTCGAAGCCAGATGGAGGAAGGAAAGTCTGTGAGATTCTTATCCCCAATTAATCACTTTTAAAAAAAAACACAAAACAAGTTGTGCTGTGGTTCAAGTGGTAGAGCGCTTGCCTTAAGCACAAAAGCCCAAGGACAGTGCCCAGGCTCTCAGTTCAAACCCTAGGACCAGCATAAAAAAAAAAATCCTACAGAATTCAAGTCTCCCTTTTCAAAACGTTATCATTATACATCTTCAGATGTACCTTGTTTGTCTCCCGTGAGAATCCAGACCTTAATATTGGCTAGTGACAAATTTGTAACGGTTTCAATGACTCCCTCTTGTAACTTATCTTCTACAGCAGTGGCACCTAGTAGCTTCAATGGAAAACAGAGAATAACATATGTTAATGCATGCAAACAATAGCTGAAACATTTATGGCTTCCAGGATCAGAGTTTTGGAGGTCAAGGAATACAAAAAAATAAAAAGGATGATACACAGTATGATATATTGATTAAAGCATCCAACTGCAATAGTACAGACAGACTCCCCAAAAAGGCCCCAAATCAACCCAACTTAATGGTAGAAATACTGCGGGTTAAAATGAACAAGAGGGTCAGGTGCTGTTGGCTCACACCTGTAATTCTAGCTACTCAGGAGGCTGAGATCTGAGGATCATGCTTTGAAGCTATGAAACTCTTATCTCCAGTTGAACACCAGAAAACCAGAAGTAGAGCTGTGGCTCGAAGTAGTAGAGACCTAGCCTTCAGCAAAAGAGCTCAGGGACAGCACCCAGGCCCTGAGTTCAGGCCTCATGATCGAAAAAAACAAAAATGTGGGTCATAAAGCAGGAAAAGGAGATAGGAACTCATAAGATCAGGGACATACCAGAGGTTAACAAGTAATAGTCTACTGTATTCTACCAATTGCATAAGGTACTTGACTAATTAACAGGAGAGCCATTCACAGGGAACTCAAAGCCAACATGTAAAGTAGGATACAATGTTTCAAGACTAACATCAGTTATGTGCAAGATGATTTAGAGCTAAGCTGGGTCTCCAAACACATAATTATCCTTCCTGTAAACACAACCCATCATGCTTCTAAATGCCTACCATCAGATCTCTTTCAATTTCTTCATACAGCTTACATATCCGTTCTTCCCTCTCCTCTGCGGCAGTGTTTGCATCTTCGAGCATCTTATACCACTCTTTAAAATACTTGTCGTCCAGGTCCCTGTATGCAATTGCCAAGGTTCGAAGGCCTTCCCCTGAAAATTCCTAGCACCGAAAATAGACACTTAGGAACCACTAGAAAACAATAAGCACAGTAATGAACTACCACCGTGATGGTGGGTATGGAAATAGAGTCAGATTCATTTTATCCCAAGAGCATCCCTTGGCATCTTGACTAATAACTTTGATCCTCTTAAGGGAGAGAATGTCTGTATTGTGTGTTTTATTTCTATGAGGTTAAAAGCTTCACAGGAAGTAGCTTTCCCCCTAAAGATGCCAGAAATGTATGCTTATGCATCCTAGTGTAAAGTTAGTACAGTAATTTTGTCTTTAATTTTGGTGTGAGTCTCAAAGAGTCTGGACACTGTCCCTGGGCTTTTATGCTTAAGGTTAGTGCTTAGGCTAGTGCTCTACCACTTGAACCACAGCACCACTTCTGTTTTGGAGTGTTTTTGGTCAGTCACGGGGCTTGAACTCAGGATCTGGGCATTTATCCCTGAGCTGTTTTGCTCAAGGTGAGTGTTCTACCACTTTGAACCACAGCACCACTTCTGGTTTTCTGGTGGTTAATTGGAGATAAGAGTCTCACAGACTTCCCTGCCCAGGTTGGCTTTGAATGGAGATCCTCAGACCTCAGCCTCCTGAGCAGCCAGGATTACAGGTGTGAGCCACCAGTGCCAGGCTTTTTTTCTGGAGGGGTGTGGGAGGAGTGGTTAATTGGAGATGAGTCTCGTGGATTTTCCTTCCCCAGGCTGTCTTTGAACCACGATCCTCAGATCTGTAAGATTTTAGGCATAAGCCACCAGCATCTGGCTTGTAGTTAAAAAAAAAAAACTTAAAAATTATTTGATTTTTTATTTTTTTTTAGTATGCGCTGGTAGTTGGGCTTGAACTCAGGATTCACACTTTCATCGCTTGGCTTTTTGCTCGCAGATGGTACTATACCATTCAGCCACACTTGTGGCTTTTTTTGGCTGGTTAAATGGCGATAAGACTTAGGCTTCCTGCAGGGGCTGGCTTTGAATCAGACACTCAGATCTCAGCCTCCTGAGTAGCTAGGATTATTAGCATGAGCCACCAGTGCCTGGCAATTGTTTAAACTTCTGAAGACTCTACCATCAAGTCAGCTTTATTGAAACAGTCTCTATGTATTGTTTTTTTTTTAAAGAAACTATGTCCTAGAAGTTAGTATTTAATAATCAGATAAATACCAGGGAAACCATCCTTTTCCTATAGCAACTCAGAGGCCCAGCCATCTCAAGTGATCACTTCTAGTAACGGAGACTGGTAGCTGCTAACAGTTTCACACAGCCGCAGAGCTAGAAACAGATGCACGGTGCACTGGGGAAATGCTACAACCTCCCACTTTGCTTCTGCCTGCAATGGTCACTTTATGGCCTCCAAACCCAGCACACAAAGCACTTTTTTATAGCCATGTCTGCTCCTTTGAGCATTGCTATTGAGCCTGTCTTCTCCATTGTGTGTTTTGTTTTTATTTTTCAGCTTATGGCACACAGTAGAGGTTTTATGGTCAGGCAAAAGTTAACATCATGACAGACTCTAATTAGGTCAAGAGAAAAGTCAATGCATACTGCAAGGATGTGGCTTAGCCTAGAGAGACCATGAGAAAAAATTATCCCAAATTTATCGCCAAGCCAGTGAGCAGCCCTTGGGATATGGCGATCATATTTTACAAGCCCACCACTAGGGTCTCCTTCTGATCTGAAAATTTAGTTATTGCCTCATAACGATCTTTTGTCTTCTTAATTCGCACAGACACTTCTTCGCCTTTAACTCACAACCCCACTGGGCACGATCACTGCCTTCCTCTCTTGTTCTGGACAAGAGGGAATCAACTCTGAGTTGACAATACAAAAGTGGACAGATGATTTAAGTTATTTAATTAGTGCATGAAACACAAGTCGAATCCTAAATTGACCATTTGAGCAAGGGCTTTTCCTATCGTTAAACAATTCAAAATCAATTATTAAACACAAATTTAAAAACCTCAGAATCTCGAAGCCAAACTGAACCAAATGAATGAAGGAAAGAACAAGTCACATTGATCTGGTCTAAAAGAATATTTTTTTTTCCTTTTTCATAGACACATTGAAAAAAATTAAGTTTCCTATATACTATAGTAACAAAGGAGACTACATGGAAATTTAGAATGTTGGTGTCTGAGTAATGGCAAAAATCAGATAGTTATGATTCCAAGGATCTTTCATTTGAAAAAAAAAAAAGTAAATAAAAATAAGAATAAAAAGACTATGCCAGCCTTCTGGATTAGATTAAAAGAAAATCAAGAATGCCCTATTGGAAGGACAAAAAGAATAGCCATGTTTGTAACCCATATTACTAAACCATCATTCTTTTTTAAAAGCTTCAAGTCAGGCAAAGTTTCTGAATTTTATTTGTTTTTGTTTAAAGATTCGAGGAATGTTTTCTATTAAATATAGGGTCTGACAGCGAACATAATTATCAATGTTTTTTTAAAGAAAAAGTAGCAGCATTGAGAAAATGAGAATTTTGACAAATCACCTCCTTCATACCCCAAAGTTCTCATAGGGTTAAATGAGAACTTCAAACAAATAGGAGAGAAATACTTGAATCTCAGGTTGAAGCAAACTGGTGTTCATATGAACTGATTCCCCTCTTCCCTGAAAGCAACCCTGAGCTCATGTCCAGTTACTGTGTTCATCTGCCCAAGGTGACACAGAGGAACCGGATTCCAGGAGGGACCAACAAGCCAGTTTTCAGACACATTGGCCCATTTCCTCCTGCAACTGCTCTCCAGATTCTCTCTTGGTGTCAGATTGTTTTGCTGATAGTTTTTTGTTTTGTTTTGTGCCGCTCTTGGGGCTCCGAGTGCTGTCCCTGAGCTTTTTTTTTTTTTTTTTTTTTTTGGGTCCGGTGGTGAGGCTTGAACTCTGGGCCTGGGTGCTGTCCCTCAGCTCTTCAGCTCAAGGCTAGCGCTCTACCACTTGAGCCACAGCGCCACTTCCGGCTTTTTTCTTTCTGCTTATGTGGTGCTGAGGAATCGAACACAGGGCCTCGAGCATGCAAGGCAAGCGCTCTACCACTGAGCCACCTTCCCAGCCCTGTCCCTGAGCTTTTTTGCTCAAAGGTAGAGCTGTATCCCTTGAGCCACAAAGCTGCACTTCTGGATTTTTTCATACTTAATGAGACATAAGGGTCTCATGGGCTTTCCTGCCCGGGCTGGTTTCGAACTACGATCCTCAGATCTCAGCTGCCAGAGTAGCTAGGATTGCACGTGTAAGCCACAGACCCGCAGCTACAGCTGACAGTTTTAAAATAAGACCTAATCTTAAGAGACGGCCGAAGGGCTGCAATCCTAACCTTCAGTCACTTACACTGAGGTGGTCGAATGTCACAGATGGAAGGTTTTCATTGGAAGAATGAAGTCTTTCAAACAGGACAGTATCTGCTCCTTTGGAATAAAGTTTTATCTGTCCTGCTGGGTTTCGAACTGGAAAGAAAAAAATAGGTATTTAGAATGGCAGATGAGAAAAAGTGAAAGCTGTCAAAACTAAACTCTTGCAGGAGTTTAAAAAGCAGCTAGATGCTTTTTAAAAACAAGGTTTCATCTAGCAGTAAAACATCAGTGACTTTGGTTTAGATCACTACCTAAATCCCTTGCTTCTCCCCCTGTTTTATTAGTCTTTCTTTTTTTGGGGGGGAGGTCCGGTTGTGGGGCCTGGCCTGAACTCTGGGCCTGGGCGCTGTCTCTCAGCTCTTCAGCTCAAGGCTAGCGCTCTACCACTTGAGCCACAGCACCACTTCTGGCTTTTTTCTTTTTGCTTATGTGGTGCTGGGGAATCGAACCCAGGGCATCAGGCATGCAAGGCAAGCGCTCTACCACTGAGCCACCTTCCCAGCCCCTTCTATCAGTCTTTCTACTTGAGTCCTTTGCTAGTCCCCAAACTCAGAAACAAAAGTTTTTATGCTGATAAATAATACCTTTTTATTTTCTTTAACTACTGCTGCTACAGTGGTACAAATCACTAACACTGTACAGTTAAATTGTCTCCATATGGACTTCTAGCCACACAAGTCGTGATTCACACATTAATTCCAAGTCAGTGCTGGGGGTGGTGGTGGTGGTGTGTGTGTTGGTCCTGGGACTTGAACTCAGAGTCAGAGCCTGAGTGCTGTCTCTGAGCTCTTGTGCTCAAGGCTAGTGTTCTACCCTTTGAGACATATCTCCACTTCCAACTTTTTTGGGTGGATTGCTGTCTTATTTCTTAATGCCCTTGGCTCTTGGGAAAGGCTCATCCACTCTCCATGGTTCATTCTTAGGCCAATCCCAGCTAAACATATCTCCCAGAGGAAGATGAAGAACTGAAGGCTTTAAAAACATCCCACTTGGGGGCTGGGAAGGTGGCTCAGTGGTAGAGCGCTTGCCTTGCATGCCTGAGGCCCTGGGTTCGATTCCTCAGCACCACATAAGCAAAAAGAAAAAAGCCGGAAGTGGCGCTGTGGCTCAAGTGGTAGAGCGCTAGCCTTGAGCTGAAGAGCTGAGGGACAGCGCCCAGGCCCAGAGTTCAGGCCCCACAACCGGACCCAAAAAAAAATAAAAATAAATAATAAAATAAAAACATCCCACTTGAAGTCTGTTATTAGTAGGGTTGTATTTGAAGGGGGGAGGACTAGGACTGGGGTTTGAACTCAGTGGCATGGGTACTATCCTTAGCTCTTTTGCTCAAGGCTGATGCTCTACCACTTGAGCCACATCTCTATACCCAGCTTTTTAGTGGCTCTCGGTGATAAGACTCCACAGACTTCTTTGCCCGAACTATCTTTGAGCCGTGATCTTCAGATCTCAGCCTCCTGAGCAGCTAGGATTACAGGCATGAGCCACTGGCACCTGAGTTAATAGTGTCTTGGTGTTTTGAGGTTTTTTTTTAATATATGCTCCCTAACTTTGGAAGTAATAGACCTTCTATGCTGCCTTTATCTCTAGCTTTTCTGTGTATGCGATCAGATGAATTTGTCTTTCAAGTAATAGGATATTTGGCCAAAATTTTTTTTTTGGGGTCCGGTCGTGGGGCCTGAACTCTGGGTCTGGGTGCTGTCCCTCAGCTCTTCAGCTCAAGGCGAGCGCTCTACCACTTGAGCCACAGTGCCACTTCCGGCTTTTTTTCTTTTTGCTTATGTGGTGCTGAGGAATCAAACCCAGGGCCTCATGCATGCAAGGCAAGCACTCTACCACTGAGCCACTTTCCCAGCCCACTGGCCAAATTTTTTTAGCCTTGATATTCTGTAGGCACTCCATAATTATTTATTGAATGAATTAATGAATGAATGACATGGTCCTATATTTCCTCCTAAGATCTACAATTTCAGACAGTTGCTAGGCCAGCATGGTAGTTCATACCTATAATTCCCTAGTTATTGGAAGACGGAGAGAGGAGAATTAATGACTGTCAGCCTAGGCCAAAAGGAAATAGTATCTCAAAAATCAAAGCTTGGAGCCAGTGGCTACTCAGGAGGCTGAGATCCGAGGATCACAGTTCAAAGGCAGCCCGGGCAGGAAAGTCCATGAGACTCTGATCTCCAATTAATCATCAGAAAACTGGAAAGGACGCTGGGGCTCAAGTGGCAGAGTGCTCGCCTTGAGCTGAAAACCTCAGGGACAGAGCCCAGGCCCAGAGTTTAAGACTCATGACAGACAAAAAAAAAAAAAACCCTAAAAAGTACAGGGCCTGGGGTGTGGTTCAAGTGGTAGAGAGCCAGTGCAAAGCCCTGAGTTCTGATAGTGGTGATTATGATTGTAAGCTTATTCACCCCTATTTTGGGCTGACAGCCTTCACCATGGGTCATCCACAAGCCAGGCCTGGCCACCGTTGTCTATTCCCACAGGCCCCGGCTGCGGGAGCAACAGAGTCTGGATGCCCAGTCCTGGTCACACGCTGGCTTAGTGTAGAATCTCAAGATGCCAGCTATAAGATGTATTGTCTCTGCTACAGAATGCTTTCCTAGCGACATGATAGCTGTAAGAAGTACTGACTTTGCTATGAGCCAGATATAGAATGTATTGTCTCTGCGATAGGATGTTTTTCCTGGCTGCAAGCCAGCTATAGACTATCCTGCCCTGGCTGTCTGATACCTCCAGCGTCCAGCTGCTGTGACTACAAAGATTTCCTGCTCAGCCCATTCTTCTGGCTTCAGACTCTGTATCTACCTTTATTGTTCTGAGAGCAGTTTGCGACTCTCTTCCCCAGGAGAGATAGATAGCCTGTCCTCTAGCTGACATTCAATGCTTCTTATTTCTACATGACTGTGTCTGAGTGGTTTTCTGGGTCGGTGCTTACAGTGATAATGAAGAAGAAGAGGAAGGGGAGGAAGAGGAGGAGAGGGAGGAGGAGGAGGAGGAAGGAAAGGGGGAGGAGAACAACAATAACTAATGATGATGATGATGATGATGATAGCAGCAGCAGAGGAAGAAGACAATGCTGACTAATTCCAATTGCTAAGGTTACAACCCCCTGCTCTGACCATACCTTCACCATCGTCATCAGCTGAATCAAAGATCACTCACATTTTCTACTCAATTATAGTTTTCCCTTAAAAAGAACAGAGTACCTCGAAATAGATGCTCATTGTAAAGATCTACTACTATCAATATAATAGGATACAAGATTTAGAGCTTTCTTTAAATGAATGTAACTATGGGCATACAGTATACTTTTTTCCTTCCTCTCTTGACTTTTAATTATCCTTTATCACCCTAGATCTATCATCACTTTCTCCTGGCCTGGATAGCTCTAATGCAAGCTGGAAACATCAGGACTGGTTCTTATGTTGGTCTTTTACCCACCACAAGAGTTCATAAAATGGCAAAAAAAAAAATCACAGCTCTCACCAGATGGCCAAGAGTAATAATCCCTGAAAAGCATCACTATGACCACAGAGCGAGCAAAAGTCATCTCAGCTACCCACCATACCTATGACCGACATCCTCTTCCTGACATTGTTGAAGTCCAAAAAGGCCAGCAGTTGATATGTAACGCGTGTCCCTAATTCCTCTATTGTTATTGTTTCCGGGGTCCGAGACTTAAAAACGAACCCACAGTTTTTAGCCGCCGTCACCAGAGCCCCTTCATCTGGTGACTGAACTTGGTAAATCAGCTGTCCTGAAAAAGAAAGGAAGAAGTATGATAGGAGCATTCGCACAATTCCAGTGCCATCCCCAACTCCTTCTTGGATTTGAACTCACAGCCTTATACTTGTCAAGCATGCCTTCATTTCTTTTTGCTGTAGGTATTTATCAGAGAGTCATGTTTTTGCCCAGGCAAGCCTAGACCATAATGCTTCAACCTCCAACCTCCCATATAACTGGGATTACAGACACATACCATCACTACCTCATTATTGGTTGAGACGGAGTCTTACTTAACTTTCTGTCCAAGATGGCCTGCAGTCATGAGAAATATGATCCTCTCAGTCTCTGCCTTCCTAGCAGTTGGGATTACAAGCATGACCCACCACACTTAGCCCAACTTGTTCTCTAATAACCAATATAAGCATCAGCTCCAAGTATATTTCCAATGCTTAGGTTTCCTTTCCTAGTTACCATCCACCCAGTCTTCTGGGTACCACAGGACATGCTATAGTGTAGTCCCAGTCACCTGAGAGAAGAAAGACCTATTTCTCAGTCTACTTCTCCATGGGCTAAAACTTTCTGAGGTCAGAGGCCATACGTTTCTTGTGACTAGAGAAGAGTCACATAATCCTCAGGGTAAGCATCTGAGCTCATTAAATGGATCATTAAAATCATCATTTCTTATCTACACTGGAGGGACATATGGCTGAAAGAGATGACGTGATATTTAGAAAGACTGCACGACAAAAAAACAAGGGAACTGATTGTCTGATCACCACTTCAGGGAAGCATTGACACCCACTTTAGGAGAACACAGGCAAAATATCCATCAGACGGGGAAGAATCCAGCCAGGATGTTAATACACTGTTCCTTGATATTATGTGTGGTAAAATGGGATTAAGAGAACTCAGGAGAGGAATGAAATGACCAAAACCAAAAAATAGGACAAACATATAAAATACACTTAATGTAGTATGTACAAAGTAAGCTTTCTTACATAAGCTTTCATGATGTTTGTAAAAATTAATTGGAAAAAGAGGGCAGAGACAGAGCTATGGTTTATTGATTTGTAGTGATGTTCAAGATAAGATCAGGTGGTTGTATATTAACGGATATATCATGATTGTATGTATTATATTGTATGTTTATGCATGTCCACATGTATACACACACACACACACACACACACACACGAGCATGAAGAAAACATATAGAGAAAAAAAAAATGAAGCTGTTAAACACAGTTTTACTCACAAAAGCCCAAGGCTAGAAAGAACCCAAATGGGCATCAACGGAGAACTAGAAAGAGAAATGGGGCCTCTTCATGTAAAGGAATACTACTTAGCAAGAAAAAAACCATCAGTTGATTTAACAACACAGATAAATGACAGAATCTACCCTGTGTCAAAGAGGCCACACACAAAAAGTATATGCACGGTTGGATTCCATTGATATGAATGACAAAAACAGGCAAAAGCCACGATGGGTGATAAGAATCAGAGCTGCACTTGGTTTGTGAGTATTGAATAATCTGTCTGGAAAGATTGAAGAGATTTATACCTTGATAGGACCACTGATTACATAGATTCATGTAATTGCTAAAGCTCATCAAACTAGATATATAACAAGAAAATAATGTTGGAAAAGCAAATATTATAATAAGCTACAAACGAGAAATAGGAGGGATAATATATAGATTTGATCATCAAAGAAACAAAAAAATACTTCATGGGACTGGAGGCATGGCTCATAGGGTAGAGTGCCAGTCGATGAGCAAAAGTGTCAGATACTGAGTTCAAAGTCCAGGTCTCAGACCAAAAAAGAGAAAAAGAACCAACCCAAAACACACCTCCAAACATTTGCAAAAGAAAATGAAGGAAGGTTCAAGCCACCCCCTAGAGTCTCCAAACTCAAAAGTCAACAAATGACACTAGAAGCGGTCTTGGGACATGATGAGCAGAAGGAAATCAGAATTCTCTTCAGCCTTCCTGGATGCCTCTCTTGCCAGTGTGCTCTGAATAACAGCTTGCAAGGGTTCCTTCTATGCTGAGGATACAGTCTCCGTCAGGGAGACACCTCAGTTTCTTGGGGCTGGAGACCAAAGCTAAGGAGAACCTGAAGTAGCTTCACACTTCCAGAGGAGGAGAAGGAAAAGGAAGAAAAGAAAGCCAAGGTATTCATGGCCTGATAAATAACTTTGAAACCATAAGCTAACAGTCAGCTCTCTCAAATGGGAGCTTGGCGGATACGCTTGTAGCACCAAATCTGGCAAAACAAGAGTCATCTAGGTGTCCTGTGGATTTCAGGAAGATGTCACCAACGCCTGGGAGACAAACCATATGTTCTGCCTCCCCCATACAATCTCAGGAGACAGACGGCTGTAAGGAGAATCAACACTCACCCAAGGACTGTCACAAACACACATAGGAATGACAGCCACAAATCACTGGACGTTATAGAACAACACCACGAAAACTGGACAAAGAGCTCAGAAGACACAGAACACTCGATAAAATGAAGCATAATAGAGGGAAACAAAAGAAAATTCCAAATTAAGTATAATTAATATCCTCAACGAGGTCTAAAGAATATCGTAATGTTAATGGAAAACAGACTGCCATTAAAACAAAATAGACTTGGGGAAATGAAATAAACTCAAAAGGCCGAAACAAAAGAGGCTTACTTAGAAGGACATATTCCCAAATGGAAAGACAATTATTCCCTATTGATGTTACTATTATAAAGATCAGTTAAAGTCAGAAATATAATTATGTGAGTCTTCAAAGTGATTAAAATCGGAGGAATGGGTTAATTCAGTAACATCCAGGACAAAATTATGGCTTGAATGTAGTCCCAAGATGAAAAGACAAACAAACAAGCTCAAATACATACCTTATACACATATATATGCAAAGACAGAATTGCATGTATGCACACACACATGTGATACATATATATATACATACATATATAACTTTTATGATGGAATTACTCAGGTAGTAATTTTAACTGGAGATTTGGTAGCATGAAAAAAATTCTACATCATGTTCTGTAAGTCTTTCCTTCCTTTGTTCCTCTCCCTCTCTTTCTCTCTCCCCTTCCTTTCCCTCCCTTTTCCCTTTCTTTCTTCCTTCATTCCTTCTGTGTTGTTTTCTACTTTCCTTCCTTTCTTAGGTATTTAATTAGTTTTTGTGCTCTATATTGTACCATTCCTCTAGTCCTTCCACCTCCAACCCCCATTTTTTGCTTTAGTTACTTTTCCTTTTTTTTTTGTATGTTTTTTATTGTAAAAATGCTGTACAGAGGGGTTAGTTACATGAGCAAGGTCATGGCAAAGGAGGAGGCAACAATGCGCAATAGATAAGTATATTCTCTTTTTTTTTTTTTTTTTGGTCCGGTCGTGGGGCCTGAACTCTGGGCCTGGGCGCTGTCCCTCAGCTCTTCAGCTCAAGGCGAGCACTCTACCACTTGAGCCACAGCGCCACTTCTGGCTTTTTTCTTTTTGCTTATGTGGTGCTGAGGAATCGAACCCAGGGCCTCAGGCATGCAAGGCAAGCGCTCTACCACTGAGCCACCTTCCCAGCCCTGATAAGTATATTCTTGATGTTCTATATTTAGTTCAAAAAATCCTGCAAATTTAATATGTGTTTGTTTTGCTTAAATAAAGATAAGGCCTTTCATTCTTGTATTTTGAATATTTTTTTTGGGGGGGGGGTCCAGTCGTGGGGCCTGAACTCTGGGCCTGGGCACTGTCCCTCAGCTCTTCAGCTCAAGGCTAGCGCTCTACCACTTGAGCCACAGCACCACTTCCGGCTTTTTGTTTATGTGGTGCTGGGGAATCGAACCCAGGGCCTCATGCATGCAAGGCAAGCGCTCTACCACTGAGCCACCTTCCCAGCCCCGGCCTTTCATTCTTGTAATCCTAACAACTCAGGAAATGAAGATAGGGTATATGGTGGTTTGAAGTCAGTCTGGACAAAATGTGAGTCCCTCATGCCAACCAATACAAAAAAAAAAAAAAGCTGGGTGTGGTAGCATACACCTGTCATCCCAGCTCTGTAAATAGGAAGATCAGGGTCCCAGCCAGCTTAAGTGCAAAGGCAAGACCCTGTTTGAAAAATAACTATAGCAGAAGCGCTGAAGTCATCATCTTATTTTGGTAGAGAGCCTGCCTAGCAAGCACAAAGCCCTCAGCTCAAACTCTATTACCACCAAAAATACAAAAACAGGAACAAAAAATCTTAACCTCTCAGAAATACTTTCCACTTACCTGCACTCGTTTCCTCTGACATCACTGTGTGGCAGAGAGCAAGTAACCTAAAGAATTCATGGACTTTGGGATCGCCCAGCTGAATGGACTCCATCAGACTGTGGTCAAAGAACTGACATGTCCTCTTTGCTTGAGATCTGACAGAGAAATCCACAGGCTTTTCTCCCTGTAAGACAACAGTGGCATCACTAAAAACAGCCACAGAAGTTAAAAGGTACAGCTGTTAAAAGTCCTTGTTGCCGGGCTGGGAAGGTGGCTCAGTGGTAGAGTGCTTGCCTTGCATGCATGAGGCCCTGGGTTCGATTCCTCAGCACCACATAAGAAAAAAGCCAGAAGTGGCGCTGTGGCTCCAGTGGTAGAGCGCTAGCCTTGAGCTGAAGAGCTGAGGGACAGCGCCCAGGCCCAGAGTTCAGGCCCCACGACCGGACCCAAAAAAAAAAAAAAAAAAAGTATTAAAAAAAAAAGTCCTTATTGCTGGTGGCTCACGCCTATATTCCTAGCTACTCCTTGAGCTCTGAGGATTGAGGTTCGAAGCCAGCCCAGGCAGAAATGTCCCCATCTCTTATCTCCAATGAACATTTCAAAAACCAGAAGTGGAACTGTGGCTTAAAGTGGTAAAGCTCAGGGACAGCAACCAGGCCCTAAGTTCAAGCCCCACAAAACAATATTTAAATTTTTTTTCTTAAGTCCTTGTTACTGGAAGCCAGTGGCTCACATGTGTAATCCTAGCTATTCAGGAGGCTGAGATCTGAGGATCATGGTTTGAAGCCTTGAACCCAGCCCAGCCTATGAGACGCTACAATTAACAACCAAACAAACAAAAAAAAAAGGTGGGGGGGGGGGTGAAGAGAAAAAGGGAGTTTGAATGCAGCCACAATATTCAATGCATAGCCGTGAAAGTTTTTACAAAATGGGCTGTGTGGGGTTGGGAAGGATGGGGGAGAATAATAACACTGATCGAGATGCATTGCATTTGTAAACTGATTTGTTGAACGGTAAGTCTTTTGTACAACTACTCAACGTTAATAAAAGGTAGAAGTGCAGCTGGGGCTCAAGTAGTAGCTGACAGCCTTGAATGAAAAAGCTAAGGACAGCACCCAGGCCCTGATGCCAAGCTTATATGTTGTCTGGTGATAGTGCAAATCATGCCTTATCATATTAAATCAGGAACTTATCTCTTCCACACCTTAGCCATTTCTTTCTTCTCGCTGACTTCATCGTGTTTTTCACCTGCCAGAACAAACATTGAAGATCAAATGAAAGTAAAATTAGTCAGGAGCCAGTGGCTCACACCTGTAATCTCAGGAGGCTGAGACCTAAGGAACTGTAGTTCAAAGTCAACCCAGCAAAAAAGTCTGGGAGACTATCTCCAATTAACCAGCAAAAAGCTGGGCTAGAGGTATGGCTCAAGTGGTAGAATGCCAATCATGAGCAAGAAAGCTGAGCAAGAGCATAAGGCCCTGAGTTCAAACCCTGTATCAGGGGGAAAAAAGTAAAATTAAAACTATATTTACACATTTAGTTTTAAGAAATGCACTTATTTCTTAAAGCACCATCACTAGATAGCAATATAAATTCAAACATAGGAGTATTAGAATTCCTAATCCTGCCTCTTAATGTAGAGAGATACTCGTGGATCTAAATAGAACTAAATTGAAGTTGACATTAAAAAAACCTACATTAAAGATTATAATGTGGCATTCTGTACATTGTATTACTTTGCTATTATACTGTTTCCAAAAGGCAGAGTTTTGGCCTTCCTGACCTCACAGCAGAAGAATAAAAAATGATAACAATAAAGATGGTGGCCTAGATCTATGATCCTAGCTACTCAGGATCAGAGATGATGATCACAGTTCGAAGCCAACCCCGCCAGGAAAAGTTCACCCAGCCAGGAAAAGTTCACGAGACTCTTATCTCTAATTAATCACCAAAAAGCCAGAGGTGGAGCTGTGGCTCAAGGGGTAGAATACTAGCCTTGAGCAAAAAAACCTCAGAGACAGTGCCCAGGCCCTAAGTTCAAGTCTCAGAACTAGCACTTGCATGCACACATGCACAAAATATACCTAGTAGGTACATTTTGGCCTAACTTGGGTTTAGCAGAAAACATAGCTATGTGCCAGAAACTTAAAGCATTTCCTTTTTATTTATTGTACGGATAGAGAAAATAGAAGAGATATCGGGTGAAAAATAAAATCGTTAATTATTCCATTGCCCAAAGATGGCCAGTATTTGTAGGAATTTGTGTGTCTATGTAAAAATATAAAGACATACTCATCATAATCTTCACCAATTTCTGGTTCCTATCCTATGAACATTTCTCTTATCATTAAAAATCCTTTATGAATCATATTTTTTGCGAGGATGGGGGCCGGTCATAGGGCTTGAACTCTGGGCCTGAGTACTCAGCTCTTCAGCTCAAGGCTAGCACTCTACCACTTGAACCAAAGTGCCACTTCTGGTTTTCTGGTGGTTAACTGGAGATAAAGACTTTGCTGCCTGGCCTGGCTTTGAACTGCAGTCCTCAGATCTCAGTCTCCTAAGTAGCTTAGGATTACAGGTGTGAGCCACCAGTGCCTAGCATAAATCATTATTTTGATTATAGAGTAGCATCATTTATTTTAGCTACCCATTATTGCAGGCCATTTAAGATTTTTCTGACTCTGCCTTGGTATTGGAAAGCTGAATACACTAGGCTAGGATTTCTTATGTATAGTGATAATAATGAGCTATCTGCATCCACCTGGTAACTGAGCACTTATTGTGAAAACTTAAAGCGAAAGATGGACATTTTCATTCCTTTTTTTATAGCCAGGGGAGCTGAGGAATAGGACTCAAAGCCAAACACTGAGGCCAACAGTCAGCCCGGTAAGCATTTGAACCCAGCTCCCTCCTCCTTTCTACACTGTGCTCTGGCACAAACACTCAGCATATAGTTATTTGGTTTTTGTGGGGCACAGTACCAAATCTGCAAAACCATGTGCCTGCTGTGCACCAGTCCCTGAGCTAGTGACGGAATCCAGCCAGGAACCTGGAATCTGAGCCTCAAATCCGCCATGATGACCTCAGTATCCCACTTGTAGTCATTCTAATAAGATGAAAGGCGGGGAGGGGAGGAGAAGAAGGTGAGTGGAGAAGACTGCATGCTTGTGTTGCGATTTCACACCACACACACACACACACACACACACACACACACACACACACACACAGAAGGCATTTATGGGATTGCTGATGCAAGGGAAGAAAAGTTAATAATTTTTCATTCAGCACACAGATTTAGATGGATCAGAGTAGAATGTCAAATTTTCACACGGCCCAGATCTATCACTGAAACAAGCCCAAGTTATACCAAAACAAGAAAGAAGGATCCTAAGACCTTCTGGGGGTACTTCAGGAAGGATATATTTTATTGGTATTATAAACTATAATGGCTTATAAGGCCAAGGGTCTAATGGGATTACTTAAGTCTTTCCATTACTTCCCTGAATTTTATGGGGAAAATTACAGGGTATCATGGGATGTATAAACTCAGAGATTTGCAAAAATCTTGAGATAGATACTTTGTGGCACCTTCTCTGAGATCGGCCCTTTAATGAGCATTTTGGTGAGGGAATCAGTGAAGGAGAGATAAAAATCTAGGCCACATTGCAATTCAAGGGGAAACTAACTCTTGCCCCTGAATTGAAAAGGAAAGGTTGGGAGGAGCCTTCTTAAAATTTGAGGGGCCACCTCAAAGGAACAGCTCAAAACTTAGCTGTTCAATGGCTGGGTTCTGACAGACATTCCCATTTCAAGAATAAAACCTCGAGCCCGGTGCTGGTGGCTCACACTTGTAATCCTAGCTACTCAGAAAGATGAGAAACGAGGAACATGGTTTGAAGCCTAGACCAGGGAAGGAAAGTCCATGATACCCTCATCTCTAGTTCACTACCAAAAAGCCAAAGCTAAAGGATAGCACCCGGGGGCCTGAGTTCAAGTCCCAGTACCACCACACAAATAAACAGGAAAGAAAGCAGAAAGACCTATTACATCTTATCAAAGCAAAACAGACACATCAAGGGCAAGGTAATTTTATTCCTGCAAATCATTCAAGTATTTTAGACCAACCCACTTCACTCAAGAATGACTCAATATTGAGCCAAAACACTGCTCATGGAGGCTAGATATCATCTGACCATGACATCAGAACTAGGCAACACATGGCTCTAGGTTGCTGTATTTTATAGCAGCTATCAATCTCCTGGGCAGTCTCTGGATGGCAGGTGTTTCCAATACATAAAAGCCTCTAGACTTCATTATTTCCAATGTTTTATGACTCTTACGAATCCTACTAGCTTTATCCATACACAGGAAACACTCCCCCCCCCCCCCACCGCCCTAATTCTTAAAGGATGGTTGCCACGCGTTTCTTTTTGACTTCCATGTCTTCTGGCCCTGCTTGTGGCAGCCTGCCAACTGAATTTCCCATGGCACTTCCTAGATAAGAGAAGCGAAAAACCAACACTCTGCCTCACCTTGAGGATTGAAAGAGAAAGTCGTTTACAGGGGGAAATGAATCAAGATGGATGGATGGGTAGACAGACAGACAAGGACACCAGAAAAATACAATTAATAAGTATGAAAATGGTCAGACTCAAATATTAAAACCAATAAATAAAAACTAAAATAAGCAGCCACTAGCTCTCCTCTGGCTATGCCAAGATGTTCAGATGTTTGGTTATAAGAACAGGAAAAACATGAAAAGGGCTATCTTATAACTGCCTCTTCCTTGGATATGTAAAAAATCTTAACATGAGGAGAGAGAGAGTGTAATGCATGCCTAGCAAAGTCCTGTGCCTTTTGATATGCCTTGATCCTATCTCCATGTTTTAACACAGTAAACAGCACACATCTTGCCCACCCCAAACCATTTCATCCAAGGATTAGGGTAGACTCTCCCAGCTCAGAAAGTATAAAAGCCACACATTTTTTAAAAAGCTACCACGCTGGGAAGGTGACTCAGTGGTAGAGTGCTTGCCTAGCATGCATGAATCCCTGAGTTTGATTCTTCAGTACCACATGCACAGAAAAATCTAAAGTGGCACTGAGGCTCAAGTGTTAGCTTGCTAGCCTTGAGCAAAAGAAGCTCAGGGACAGCACCCAGGCCCTGAGTTCAAGCCCCAGGACTCGCAAAAAAAAAAAAAAAGCTACCATTTAGCTGGATACCAGTGGCTCACACTTGCAATCTTAGATCTCAAGACTGTGTGATTTGAGGATCACAGTTCAAAGCCAGCCCTGGTAGGGAAGATCATGAGACTCTTACCTCCAATTAGCCAGAAGTGAGACTGTGGCTCAAGTGGTAAAGCACCAACCCTGAGTGAAAAAACTCAAGGACAGACCCTGAGTTTAAGCCCCAGGATCCCCCCCCCCCAAAAAAAAAAGAGAAAGAAAGAAGAAAAAGTCTGAACAAGAAATGTTTCATCCTCATTGTTCATTTCTCCCTATTCTTATCCTGCTACACCAAGATACATTCTTGGTTCAACTTCAAAAAAATTCTTTAAAAATAATTTATTTTAAGGTTGCTTCTTAGAATTGAAATTATCAACATGAATCAAAAGAATAAAAAATACTCCCGAATTTGAAAAAAAAAACCCTAATATTCTAAAGTGTAATCATTTAAACCACTACTTGAATTAAGCCAGTAGTTTTAGAGTCTTAAGTATTGTCTAAGACATTTTTTTCCTGGTATTGGGGCTTGAACTCAGAACCTGGGCACTGTCCCTGACCTTTTTCACTCAAGTCAGATACTCTGACACTTGAGCCACAGCCTCTCTTGTTGTTGGTTTGTTGTGGTGGTTGTGGTTTGGTGGTTAATTGGAGTCTCGTGGATTTTCCTGCCTGGGCTAACTTCAAACCAGATCCTCAAATCTCAGCCTCCTTGAGTAGCCAGGATTACGGGCATGAGCCACCACCACCAGGTATAAATAGACTTTAAAAACCCCCAAAACAGGAAGTGGCGCTGTAGCTCAAGTGGTAGAGCGCTCGCCTTGAGTTGAAGAGCTGAGGGACAACGCCCAGGCCCAGAGTTCAAGCCCCACGACCGACAAAAAAAAAAAAACAACCCCAAAACAGAGCATTTATCTTTTTAAACGCATGCGAATGGCAGCTGGCTTGGTGAAATAGCTCGTCTGGCCAGTGATGGTCCCACAGGGTGTGAGTTTTCAGGGAACTGACAGTAAATTCTCACAAATGCCTGCTCTAGCATCAAGCCCAGAGGGAACAGGGAACAAGCATAAAATAAACCAGGCTGCCAAGAACTCATCCTCCTGGGATGTGGGTGTCTGGAACACCACGGAAGAGCCACACCACTGAGGGGTGCTCAGGATGTGCAGCGTACCCTTCTGAACCCCCTCCATCCACCAACTGCAGCAGACCCAGACTTCCACCTAAATTAGGCACCATGGATCCATGAGCACCAAGCCAAGTGCTGCTAAGAACATATTAATGAGAAGGTCATGGTGGAATTTGGAGGTGGGCGGAGTGAAGGAGGAAGACAGTATTTCAAAAATGATATTATACGGGGAGGTGGCAAAGAGAGGGCAGAAGAATGGAGAGAGGAAGGGGGGTGAACATCGTCACGATATTTAATGTACATGTGTGAACTGGAGACCAAGTAACTTGAGGGAATGGAGTAGGGCCAGGAGAAATGGGGGAAAGCCCTCTGTACAACACCTGAAAGATGATAAAAATAAATGGTTAATTTTTAAATTTTTAAATGATATTGCTTTCCAAACATATTGGCTCATGCCTGCAATCCTCCCTACTTAGGAGGCTGAGATCAGGAGGATAACAGTTTGAGGTCAGTCTTAGCGCACGCGCGCGCAAACGCAAACACACACACACACACACACACACACACACACACACGAGTGCACACACGCAGAAGATTCCATCTCAACCCATAAAAAGAGGTGTGGTGATGCATGTCTGTCATCTCAGGTATATAAAAAACCTACATAGGAGAATCACAGTCCAGGCATAAATCTAAAACCCTATTTGAAAAACAACAGAAGCAAAACAGGTAGAGGGAAAAATGGCTCAAGTGGTAGGGCATCTGCCTATCAAGTACAAAGCTCCAGGACTGCCCAGCACCCATGCTGTTATTCCAAGAACATTCAACGTCATTGAGAAAAAGAGAGCACGGCTCTTACCGTAGATTTTCCCATTAATGGAACATTTTTTAAAAGTCATGATGTTTTGAGTAAGGGTGCCCGTTTTGTCAGAGAAAACATATTCAATCTGGCCCAGCTCCTCATTAAGGGTGGTCGTCCGAGCTTCGGCAGGTGTGGCTTTGCCTGAGTAATACATCTTCCGATCCCAGTTTATAAAATAACTGTGGCCCAGACGAATGACTTCCACACTGTGGAAAAGAAAGAGAAAGAGAGTGAAAGGAAGGAAAGCACAGAAGGAAGGAAGGAAGGAAGGAAGGAAGGAAGGAAGGAAGGAAGGAAGGAAGGAAGGAAGGAAGGAAGGAAGGAAGGAAGGCTCCATTAACTTCAGAACATACAGAGATTTGCCAAAAAAAAATTGAAATCTGCCAAAGTCCTCAGAGTTTTAGAGGCAGGGATGAGTGAATCTCCAAGTGCCAGTGGCTCACACCTGTAATCCTACCCAGGAGGCTGAAATCTTTAGATCACAGTTCAAAGCCAGTCCAGGCAGGAAAAGTCCATGAGACTTTTATCTCCAATTAACCACCAGAAAACTGGAAGTGGCGCTGTGGCTCAAATGGTAGAGTGCTAGCCTTGAGCTATTGAGGCTCAGGGATAGCACGCAGGCCCAGAGTTCAAGCCCCACAACCAACAACAACAACAGTAAAGACAGATAGAAGATACTCTATCCCAAGGTCCCAGTGATCTAAAGAGGGTCTGTTCATAAACCCCAGAACCATAAGACCAGAGGGGGATCCCAGCATAAGCCTTTAGGCAATGGTTTTCTGTTCACCTCAAACAAGCTCAGTAGAGATTTCTGCGTAGCATATTACTTTGCATCTCTTCTTATATCTTCATGGGAAAAGATATTTGTCCTGCTGGGCATGGTAACTCCTGCCTGTAATTCTACCTACACAGGAGCCTGAGATCTGAGGATCACAATTCAAAGCCTGTTCTGGGCAGGAAAATCTATGAAACTCTTTTGTCTCCAATTAACTATCAAAAAGCCAAAAGCAGAGTTGTGGCTCAAAGTAGTAGAACTCTAGCCTTGAGTACAAAAGCTCGGGGATAGTGTCCAGGCCCTGAATTCCAGCCTTAAGACTGAATCTCACACACACACTGTTTGTCTTATGTCCAATAGACAGAAATGTGCTGTGATATATTGACAGGATTTCACGTTGGCAAAAGAGGTCCAAGTTGCATCTCCAGAAAGCACGAAGCAAACCATAACAGCCACTGAGTAAAAACAGGGGTGTATCTTCAGGCTGTGCCCACTTCCTCAGATAAGAACACCATCTCACATGGCAGTGGTAATCAGGACTTCCTGCCTCCAGAAATGGGATTTCTGTGGCCAACAGCAGTCTGAGTTCTTTCCGTGTGCATCACATAAACTGCCAAAGGGACTTCCGAGATTATAGTAATGTCGGATTATAGAGAAGTAACTTCTAACATAGTTTAATGAAAATATCATCTTATTACTTTTACTCCTATTTCTTTTCTCTTTTTTTTTGCTTAACTGTATTTTTTTGTCTTTTCTTTTTTGGTACTGGGGATTTTTTTTTCTTGTTTAACTGTATTTTTTTGTCTTTTCTTTTTCGGTGCGGGGATTGAAGGCAGGCCAGCGTACTTGCTAGACCAGCTCCTTGCCACCACACCACATCCCAGCCCCACTGGTTCTTTTCTGATCACTTTCTTTCCAATTTTATCAGCCAATTGTACTTTCTTCTTTGACCAATCTAATGGTAATTGCCAACTTTCTTTGTCTGATATTAGCATATTTCTTGCCGATTTATGTGAAGTTTATACTATAAATTTGATCAAAAAAAGAAATATCGTACCCAAATAATTCTTTGCCTTAATTTTGTTTCTAGGTTTTTTGTTTCTGGTGGGTTTTTACATTCTCTCTCTCTCTCTCTCTCCCTCTCTCTCTCTCGTCAATTGTGGGGCTTGTACTGTGGGCCTGGGTGCTATCCCTGAGCTCTTCAGCTCAAGGCCAGCACTCTACCACTTGAGCCACAGCGCCATTTCCAGTTTTCTGGGGGTTAACTGGAGATAAGAGTCTCATGGACTTTCCTGCCTGGGCTGGCTTTGCAATGTGATCCTCAGATCTCAGCCTCCTGAGTAGCTAGGATTATAGGCATGAACCACCAGCACCCAGCCGTATTTTCTCTTTTTAACTGATCAAATTTAATTAAAGTTTATAGATTTATTTGGGAATTTTGTTTAAATAGACATTCCCTATAGCAAGATTATATATTATATATGAATGTATAATAGATGTATAATATAATAAAGATTATATATTCATGCATATGTATATATGCATATATGTGTTATACTATTGTTTTACCTGTAATTTTTTATATCAATGAATCTAGTAACTAAGAAGTTACTCTCATTTTTTTTTTTTTCAAACAGAAAGATTTTTCAACACTATCTGTTAAACAAGACTTTTCCCTTTGGGAATATGGGATGTTTCTTAGATATAAATTATTTTACTTACTAGAATCAAGTCATGAATTTTAATTTTGTTCACTGATATGTTACTTAATACAACTATTATTTCCTTATTGCAGCTTTATAAAACCTGGTAACATCTGACTAGAGATAAAAGAACATTCTCTTCCTTTGCAAAAATAAAAACAAAAAAACCCTTTTCTTTGATTCTTTCTGATAAAACCAGTATGTTCATCTGAATAAACTTTAAAATAAAGGCTTAAGTTTTCTTGCAAGTTACATTTCGGATTTTTCTTAGTTCTATGCTAAACTATTAATCATTCAAAAAGAGTTGATATTTCATAAAACCAAACAAATGCATTTTCCAGGAAAAGTATAAATCTTTCCCAGGGTTCAGTGTTTCAAAAGTTTCTGTATCCACAGAGTCATAGCTTTGTTTTTTATATAGTTCCATGACACAGCTTGATGGATTTGCTCTGAACATTGCATCTCTTTACTGATGGGATAAGTTTTTAAATTATTGTTGGCCAAAAGGAAAGCTGTTGACTTTTTTTTAACTACCATTCACAGGCTGGAAGCCTGTGACATGTTTTATGGTATATTATATATCACTGAAAATCTCAAGAAGCAATACATGAGAAAGTAATCTAGAAGTATTGATGTTGATCTCATACACACACACAGAGATACAATGCCATCTAAAGGTAAAGTGGTTGCTATTTCGAGCAGGAAGAAACTCAAATCAATATTTTTGTGTATGTGTGTGTGCCAGTTATGGAACTTGGCTAAGGGCTGTCCTTCAGCTTTGTGCTCAAGCCTGGTGCTCTACCATTTGATCCACAGCTCCACTTCCGGCTTTTTAATGGTTAATTGGAGGTAAGAGTCTCATACACACTCTAGAGCTGGCTTCAAACCATGATCATCGGATCTCAGCCTCCTGAATAACTAGGATTATAGGTGTGAGCCACCAGAGCCTGGCTAGAAATCAATTTTTTTTAATACCCTCATTTTACAGAACAATAAAAATCAGACAGGCATACTAAAAAGCACAGGCGAGCCAAGTGCTTTCTGTAAGTTTGTACAGCCACTACTATTTGTAGCTCCAAGACCAGAAACTAGATTTGGAATATTACAAAGAGTTCTTCCATTCACCACTATGTATAAGAAAGTAAAAGAAGAAATACGAGTCATGGATCTAGCATTCGTTTTTTAAAAAGTAAAAGAAATTTAACAACAATGACAAAAAACCACTCCCCAATCTTTCAAGTGATTAAATAGAAAATACTAGTGCACTTCAAAGCAAGCATATATACAGAAGACACTTCATAAGAACATGTGGTTGGTCTGTATGCATACGTTCATCGCACATCACGTTTATTATTTGTTTAGGACATAAAAGGAGAGCTATAAAAACTGGCCATAGCTCTTCAAGCAAAGCAGGATTTACTGCAGACTTGATCATTGACTTCAAGCATGAGAGGCCCTCGGAATCAAACACAAGCCAGGGGACACAGTTTCTTTTTTTTATACATATAATGTGTTTTTTTTTTGGGGGGGTCCGTTGTGGGGCCTGAACTCTGGGCCTGGGCGCTGTCCCTCAGCTCTTCAGCTCAAGGCTAGCGCTCTACCACTTGAGCCACAGCGCCACTTCCGGCTTTTTTCTTTTTGCTTATGTGGTGCTGAGGAATCGAACCCAGGGCCTCAGGCATGCAAGGCAAGCGCTCTACCACTGAGCCACCTTCCTAGCCCCGGAACACAGTTTCAATAGAAGCCCATTCTGAGCACAGCCTCCCAAAGCAATCTGTGGCACTGTGGCCACATTCCACCACGTCCAGACCACTTCCCACAACCTCAGTAAAAATTAGTTGAGGATTTAAAGCTGGTGATTGTGTGTATTGTTAAAACACTGATAATGAGAGTATTTTAACGACCACACTCCATCTTGGCTCTCACGTTGTTGGGGACTGTCTAGGTCACTCTTGGTAAGGTGAGCATAGAGAATGTCTCAGGTCTAGACATGAGAGCCATGTTCTAAGTCTTACTGAACACACACAGACATGTATGTACAAATGTATGAATGTATGTATGTATTATGTATAGAGAGAGACATAGAGGAGAAACCAAGCCACGCCATTGTATCTCTAGTTTTATCTGGGTGCTTGTCCCTTAGCTTTTTTGCTCAAGGCTGGCGCTCTACCAATTGAGTCCCAGCTCTACTTCTGGCTTTGGGGTAGGGGATAAGAATCGAATGGAAGTTCTTGCCCTGGTTTAGCTTGGAGGCATGATCCTCAGATCTCAGCCTCCTGAGTAACTAGGATTACAGGCGTGAGCCACTTGGCACCCAATAATTTTCTCCATTTTAAGTGGGGAAACTGAGGCTCAAGAGGGTGAGGTCTCTTGCTCAATGTTATGGAGCTAGTAAGCATTATATATATATATATATATATATATATATATATACACACACACACACACACACACACATATGACCTTGACCTTGAATCCAGGTATGGAGAGCCAGACTAGAGGAAGGAGAGGTTCTATCTCTGACCATCTCTCTAATCTTGTTCTTTTTTTTAATCTCAAATCAACTCAATTCTAATTGATCGGCTTGCCTGAGATTATAGTGTCATCCATGTATTTTAATAAAGAAAACAACCACACAACCACATTCCTGAAAAACCAAACCAAATCAAGAAAAGCAAATGTCCTTATTGTCATTTGAAAATGTCAAAGTTACACAGTATTCAAAGCCTAAGTGGCCCCCCTTGCAACAGAGGTAGCAGTTCCGACTCCGAAGGAGACCTCAAATGCACTGCTCTGATTTTAGGACAAACAAAAGTGATTACGGGAAACAAAGGCTTTTGATGACAAGGGATTCGTTAAAGTGTCAACTCTCATCTTACCTCACGTACAATGAAATGGGCACCACTGTGTTAAGAATGATAACATACGACCAGAAAGTCAAGAATCCTGAGAATATGGAGTTCTTCTCTCCTTCGTTCCAAAAGAGGAAAGCTCTGAATTGGCCCCCGACTTCATTCTCCCAGAATGAATTTCCTATTGCAAGAATAATTCCCAAGCATACCAGAAACCCAAAAATCTGAAATGAGAAGAGACGTTTGGTCAAGGTTAACTTGAACCTTAAACTAGTCACATAGTCTGATCACATCTAACTCACCCTCCCCCCCCCAAAAAAATGCTATTTGAAAGTCAAGTTATGCAAACCTCTTCTTACCTTATTGATATGGATAAAATTTAACATTTTCATATCAGGAACATGACTAAATACTTGACATAAATTTTTCTTATTCTCTCATTGGCTCTCTAGGGTATGTGTGTGTAAGAGAGAAAGGGGGAGAGGGGAGGGGAGAGGGGAGAGGGGGGAGGGGGGAGGAAGGAAGGAAGGAAGGGAGGGAGGGAGGGAGGGAGAAATAGAAAGTGACACTGTGGAAAATAAACTATGCAACCTGTGGGTACAGATAGGAGGGAAGAACTGGGAATGAAGGGAGGGGTAATGCTGATCTAAAAGCAACGTACTCTTTACCTGACTTAACCATAATCCCTCTGTACGTAACGTTTATAATAACAATTCTAAAGAGTGTTTAAGTGGTCTCATTGAGGAAGCCCATGTGCCCCAATTTGCCCTGCGTGGCCTCAGTTCACATAGGCGGTCCAGGCCAACACTGCTAATATACATTCAAATGTATCTTGTTTGAGTGATACATTATATGGTCACCGGAGACATAAAAACAAAAGCTAGAAAATGTCAGTAGTAATAAAGATGAATCTCAGACTTGTCAAGACTCTTCCCTACAGAAATGGCTAGTCAACAAGAAATATCATTAAATTAAAACAATTAAATTGCCTCATGACATCTATACTTTCTTTTTTTTTCTTTCTTGTCAGTCCTGGGGCTTGAGCTCAGGCACTGTCCCTGAGCTTTTTAGCTCCAGGCTAGTGCTCTACCACTTTAACCCACAGCACCACTTTTGGTTTTCTGGTTTTTAATTGGAGATAGGAGTTTCATGGACTTTCCTGGCCAGGCTGGCTTCAAACCATAATCCTCAGATCCCAGCTTCCTGAGTAGCTGGGATTACAGATGTGAGCCATCAGTATGGGGCTATACTTTCCTTTTGAGATTTTTTTTTTTTAAGTAGCAAGCAGCACAAAAAAATAGCAACCTTTTACACTATAGAAAAACAAACATTTGGAATCACAGTATTTAGAGAGAGAGAAGATCATTAGGTAGGAAGTTCAAACTCCAGACTTAAAAACAAACTCAGAAGCCATGAGTTGGCAAGATGTCCTGGGGACTTTTTTTTTTTTCTAGTCCTGGGCCTTGAACTCAGGGCCTGCATGCTGTCTCTGAGCCTTTTTTTGCTCAAAGCTACCACCTTGAGCCACAGCACCACTTATGGTTTTCTGGTGCTTAACTGAAGAGACTCATAGACTTTCCTGCCCAGGCTGGCTTTGAACTGTGATCCTTAGATCTGTTTCCTGAATATCTAGGATTATAGGCATGGGCCACTGGTGTCCAGCCTGGGGACTTTTCCTATGAAATGTCACACCATGTTAGGGGCTGGACCAACATTGTTGAGGGAGGAGTTGACCTAGAGACGGACAATTTATTCCCTTCTATTCTCTTTTTTCCTCCAAGAAAGAACCAGAGTTCCACGTTCCTACGCTTGCTTTCTTCTTTCTCTCCCTAATAAGGGCATGAGAAGACAGAGTTGGGGGAATCTTAAAGTATATTAGAAAACCATATAGGAGAAAAATGGTAGAATTATGGATGTCCAATATGCTACCGACTTGGTTCCTGTATCACACCAGCCACGTTCCTGTTAATGTTTGATTCTACATACTCATTGAACAGAACCGAAGAATTAAAACTAGCAATGCTTGGCATTCAATGCCCAACTTCAAGCATTTGAAAGCTGGGGTGAGCCGTTGCTTTACACCCCAAAATATCACCTTGTGGTATCTACCTACCACCATGGTTAAGCAAGCCCTGGAAGTAAGGCAGGACATTTTACACTGGGAACGGTAGAAGGTCACAGGCTGCCAATGAGCTGGTCACCTTACCACTGGGAAGGAATTCATTATCATCTAGAAAACAGAAGGGAGCTCAAATCAGCTCCCAGGGCGAAATATTTAAATGCATACTCTACAAGGAGAGGGTAGACTTCCAAAAGAGAAGTCCCAGAGAAGCAGATGAAATCATGTTCTGACTACAATGACCAGTACTACTGCCTAATTTTGCTTTGGCAACTTACCCATAATACTAGAGTATTCATCAGCCTATCGATGCTTGTCCTCTTAAACTTTGTCTTACCACTGTTCTGCATTAATTTAGTGTCAGGACCTGCAAGAAAAAAAAGAAGACAACTAGAAGTGGCGCTGTGGCTCAAGTGGTAGAGCGCTAGCCTTGACACAGAAGCTCAGGGACAGTGCCTAGGCCCTGAGTTCAAGTCCCAGGACTGGCAAAAATAAAAATAAATAAAAAAGAAGACAACTTTGGAATAATCAGATGATATATTCTTATTCCTGTCACTAATCTCTACTCATACCAATGTTTCTGAAAAGGAAAACCCATGTTCTTCAATAAAGAACAGTGGACATCAAGTTGTGGATAACTCTTAATTTGTAACTTGAAAACAAACCTAAATATTGCACTGTAGTCTAAGTTCAGATAGAACCTGGGGATAAAAGGTTTCAGAAATGCTTTGTTGCAAAACTCTGAACATTAACAAGCTAATCTGGAGCACTCACAGCTAACAAAGTCAAAGGATGGAAGGGAGGGAGGGAGGGAGGGAGATGGAGGGAAGGAGGGAAGTGGGGCAGGAGGGAAGGAAGGCTAGAAGGGAGGGAGGGAGGGAGGGAGAGAGGGAGGGAGGAAGGGAAGGAAGGGAAGGAAGGGAAGGGAGGGGAGGGAAGGGAGGGAAGGGAGGGAAGGAAGGGAAGGGAGGGAAGGGAGGGAAGGAAGGGAAGGGAGGGAGGCAGGGAGGCAGGCGGGCAAGAAATTATATCCCACTCATGGAAGAATGGACACATCCTTGAAAATTTTGACTTAAAAGACAAATAGAAGCAAAGATTAGAGTCTCAGAGCGATTCACCGCTGGTCTTAGAGACTGTATCCCAGTGTCCTGTTCTCAGTCACTCATGTATAAAGGAAAGACCACCCACATTCTCTCAGAATTGTTTATTAAAGGCATATGAACATTGAGGGTGAGAAGAATTTCTTTTGTAGCCAAGATCACAAAGACCAAATAAAGTCTGCTAAAAAGTGAAATAGAAACTAGTTGAACATTTTTTTTAATGTACTTTTTCTTAAGACATGCAGACATATACAAACGAGTGATAGAATCTACTTTATGGGTTGTAAGCACTTAAATATATCCAGAGATATTTAGACTCATGACTCTTCTTCTCCTATATTCATTCACCTAGTGCCAGTGGCTCACAGCTATAAGCTTAGATAACTCAAGAGGCTGAGACCTGAGGATCGTGGTTCAAAGCTAGCCCAGGCAAACAAGCCCACTCTTACCTCCACTAAACTACTCAGAAGAAGCCAGAAGTGGCACTGTGGCTCAAGTGGTAGAGTGCTAGCCTTGAGCACAGAGAGATTCAGAGACAGAGCCCAGGCCCCGAGTTCAAGCCCAGGACTGGCAAAAAAAAAAAAGAAAAGAAAAGAAAAAAGAAAGAAAAATGTCAGGTTTGTCAAGTCAACTCTGATTCTTGGCAATAGGAATAAGCAGAGTTACACTACAAAGAGAAGAGTGAAGAATTCATCTGGGATTCTGGTTTTCATGATATCTGGGTATTCAATTCTTCAATGAAATGCCCATTGGAATCCGGAATGGAGAAAACTGACCATGATCATGACAACCCCTGCTCACCCATATTCTAATTAAGTGTTCTGTGAACTTCTGTGCCCAGACTAAAGGCAGCGCAGACATTCTGGTCTTTACAATGGACTCCTGAGACTGGGAATGCAGGATACCATCACCAAAGAAGACAGATTCCCCCTTATCCCTGGCTCAGCCCAGGGAGGAGGCAGCAAATTCTGGGCTGAGGATGAAGCACGAGAGAAAAACAGGAAAGGGAAGAAATAACATTTGTCAAGTACCCGCTTAAGCATGCCACATCTCAAGCTCTGACAATGGACTCATTAGTATCTCCAGGCGACAACTTACGAAGCTTGAGAAACAAGAAGTCATATTCCTGAAGCTGGTAAGCAAATCGGAGCCCAGATCTGCTACTCTGTGAACTTCCTTTCCACTGCCTTGGAGGAGACTTGGTTTTTGGTTTTTTGGAGGTACGGGCAGTACTAGGATGTGAACTCAACGCCTGGGCACTGTCCCTTGGCTTTTTGGCTCAAGGCTGGTGCTCTACCACTTGAATTACAGCTTCATTTCCAGTTTTTTGGGGGGTAATTACTTGGCTGTAAGAGTCTCACAGAGCTTCCTGCCCAAGCGGGAGCTTCCAGTGAACGGCAATCCTCAGATCTCAGCCTCCCGAGTAGCTAGGATTACAAGCGTGAGCCACGAGTGCACAATTTCCTATTCTTTTTGTGTAAGAGCATTTTCCCCATAGAGACAGTTGTATGAAAGGGAACTTAGCCCCTGTCAGTGGCTCAGCACAGCTGTCTCACCATAACATGGTGCAGCTGATCTACAGTCCTGAATTAGTCATTCTAAGTAAGATCAAGTGCACATCAACTTGCTCATCCTTTTGACAAGATTCCTCCATTTCTACAATGGCCAGGCAGAAGCAAAGTAAGAGGGGATTTCCCATCAGAAAAGCTTCAACCAGGGCTCACACCTAGAATCCTAGCTACTCAACAGGCTGAGATCTGAGGATCATGGTTCAAAGCCAATCCAGGCAGGAAAGTCCAAGAGACTCTTTTCTCCAGTGAACCACCAGAAAACCAGAAGGGGAGCTGTGGCTCAAAATGGTAGAGTGCTAGCCTTGAGTGAAAAAGATCACAGACAGCGCCCAGGCCCTGAGTGCAAGACCCACGACCAATAACAACAAACCTTTGAGAAACTTCCCTGTCATGATAGAAGAAAAGAAGTCTGAACATATGCCAAGCTCTCAATTTCTCTGCAAGAGCAATGCAAAGAAGGGAATAAACAACCACAGGTTTATTTCCCTGCTTAAAGACTAAAAGCATCTGTTGAAAGACTCAATCGTGAAGTCAGACTCATCCCCAGATCAAAGTACTATATGCCTCATTTCTAGGGATTTCCCAAGTCCTTAAAATGGCGATGCTCCAAACACAAGAGCCACAGTAACGCCACACACGGCTCAGAGTATCTGGCAACAACTGGCCAGACTTTTCTAACTCTGGAACACTTTCGAGCCCTTAATGAGCAAATTTTGTTGTTGTGGAGGAAATTCAGTTAAACAAAACAAAACATTCCCACGTTGATTGCACATATAATCACCAGACCCAAAACGCATCTTAATTTTGTGTCACAATAAACAGGATTTAAAAAAAAAAAATCAAAAGCTGGCAAATGAAGCCACGAGTACAAATTTGAGTGGCTTTGGGAAATGGAGCTACTGTAAGCTTCCCTAAGAAGGAGTGCCATCCTGGAAATCCATAGAAATACAGTAGAACATGCACAGATGGCAAGCAAAAAGCCAGGCTCCGGTGGCTCACGCCTGTAATCCTAGCTACTCAGGAGGCTGAGATCTGAGGACCGTGGTTCAAAGCCTGCCCAGGCAGGGAAGTCTATGAGACTCTTATCTCCAATTAATGACCAAAAAGCCAGATGTGAAGCTGTGGCTCAAATGGTAGAGTACCAGCCTTGAATTGAAAAAGCTCAGGGACAGTGCCTAGGCCCAGAGTTCAAGGCCCAGATTGGTGCCATCGGCAATGGGGGTGGAGGGGAGGGTGATAAGGCAAGCAATAAGAAGAGAAGGCCCCCTCTCTCTCTTTCTTCCCCCTTCCCAGCCTCCTCAGTCCTGTTTATGAACACGAGAAGCAGCTATAGGCCATAAACAAAAATGACAGCGGAGCCCCTAAGAAGACTTTCCCAAAGGAACTGCTTGATCCACCATATCAGCCGTATTTGCATTCGTCCCTCTGTTTAAAGCGGGCTGACCAAATACATAGAATAACAGGGGTGATTGAGATGGGGTTAGAGAGAGAGAAATTAAACAGTGGCTATGTCCAAATCCCAGCAACCTTAAGGATAACTTCTAAGACATCAGTGGCTCCCATACACAGGGGCCTCCTGGGCTATTTTCAGGGCGATGACATCCTTTCCTGGGGTCACACACTCTGAGGTCCTCCCCAGAGCAGCGTCTTGCCTGGAATGAAGAGCCACGGGTCTGTCTCCACGTGGCAAACGGATGGACTGAGGGTGAGTGGGGGGGCAGCGATCTGGTTGGTAGAGGCTGTGAGCTGTACCTGCAAAAACGACCATTCCAAAACACCAGCTGGTGTTCCTCAGGGCACAGCCTCTCAGGATGAGCTTCTGGTTGGTGAGCGCATGCTTGCTCCCCTTCCAGGTGAGGACTCCCGAGAATCTGTCTAATTTGTTGTTGGGCGCCTCACAGACAACAATCCCTGGGAAACAGAAAAAAAGGAAGTTTTCGGTCCTCTCTTAACAAGCCCACGGTACCATCCTGCTCCCATACAGTGTATTTGTGTATTTATAGTACATAATATGCAGTGTCTTTTTCTTCCCTCTTAGACGTCACAGTGTTCGGTGCACAGGACTATGCTTGGAAAATAAATGGAGAAACTACAAAGTTAAAATCCATCAAACTGTGTGTGCGTAAGTGTGTGTGTACACACACACACAGACTTAACCTCCAGGCACGCACACACACACACACACACACTCACTCACTCACTCACTCACTCACTCTGGGGCTTAACCTCCAGGCCTAGATACAGTCCCTGCGGGATTTTTTGGTTTTTGTTTTTTGCTGAAGACTAGTGCTCTACCATTTGAGCCACAGCCCCACTTCTGGCTTTTGGGTAGTTTAACTGGAGATAAGCGAATCACAGACTGCCACGCTGACTCCAGTAGAGTCTGCTTAGCATGGGAAACCATCTATCAGACCATGATAGGGGCTTCAGAGACCTATCTCTGAGTTTTGGGACTTCACCGAAGTCTACCTCAGAGAATGGAGCTTTACAGAAACCTATCTCCAAGTTTTGGGACTTCACCGAAGTCTACCTCGGAGAATAGGGCTTCTAAGAGGCCTACTCCTGGGAAAAGGCTGGCAAACCCCTGGGAAAAGATGTGTTTCTGCCTTTCTTTCCCTCATAAGAGTGCCTATTAATCTTTTACTGCTTCTACTGCTTTTTGAATTTGCTCATTGTCAGTGTTCCCTTATTCAAAGCCCTTTCTTAAGAGTGTTGACGACTCCAATATCTGATGAGTGTCTTAAAAATATGACTAACTCACCAGAGTTAAGTGCTAACCTGAAACCCCTCTTATGGAGGCTAGGGGACAAGTTATAAGTAAATATAAAAGTATTGGGGGTTTCACAAAGTCACTTCAGCAGAAGGAATTGTTTGTAAGGGACTTACAAGAAGCAGTAGGCTCAGCTAGAACAGAAAGACTGCATGGCAATTGCTGAGATAATTATTTAGGAGAAAGAATTTCCTGCTATTTACTAAGAGACTTGCTAGATCCAGGTCTCCTTGAAGTTTACTATTAAAGAAGAAACAGGAAAGATCTTATGGGAAAGTTAAGGCCTCTATAAAAATAGGTAATGGTTAATTGGTGACAAACATCGAAACCCAAACCCATTGTATTCCTTAGAGATAAGCCGGAGACAAATGCCTATCAGGTGCCCAGCTGGTGACCACCCAAGAAAGAAGCCATGCAGCAAGATTGTGTAACCTTTTGCCCTTTCTCATGGAGACTTCTGTTATAGAAGTTTGTTATCCTCTGCATTAAATCGCACTCAGCATCCACTCCTAATGTGTGTGAGTTTTCTGTTTGCCATCTCCCCATCCTATTCCAGGTTCCTCCCTTAGGTGTCTTCCATCATCCCGACAGAACCCGGTCCGGCAACAGACTTTGCTGCTTAGGCTGACTTTGAACTGTGGTGTGCAGATGCTGCCTCTTGAGTAGCTAGGATTATAGGCAGTCACCAGTGCCCAGCTCATCTGAATGTTTTTGTTTGTTTGGTTTTTGTCGGTCATGGAGCTTGAACTCTGGGCTTGGGTGCTGTCCCTGAGCTCTTCAGCCCAAGGCGAGCGCTCTACCACTTGAGCCACAGTGCCACTTCCAATTTTCTGGTGGCTTATTGGGGATAAGAGTCCCACAGCTTTTCCTGCCTGGGCTGGCTTTGAACCGCAATTCTCAGATCTCAGCCTCCTGAGTAGCTAGGATTACAGGTGTGAGCCACCAGAGCCTGGCTCATTGAACATTTTTTTTTTTTTGGGGTCCAGTCGTGGGGCCTGAGCTCTGGGCCTGGGTGCTGTCCCTCAGCTCTTCAGCTCAAGGCTAGCACTTTACCACTTGAGCCACAGTGCCACTTCCGGCTTTTTTCTTTTTGCTTATGTGGTGCTGAGGAATCGAACCCAGGGCCTCAAGCATGCAAGGCAAGCGCTCTACCACTGAGCCACCTTCCCAGCCCTCATCAAACATTTTACAACACCATTTTCTACACTGCCCAAATAAGACTACGTGATAAGAGCCAAGAGATTTTTTTTAAGTTTTTTTCTTTTTTCCTTTTTAAGTCTGTTGAAACTTGTCTGGCAAGTTGCAAGGCCCTCAGTTTGGAGCTCAGCATCTCAAAATAATAAAAAATAATTTTAAAAATGTATAAAAATCAATTATTTTTGCCTCTAGCTTCTAGCCAATGAGGATAGAAAATCTAAAGCAAAAATAAAAAAAAGAAAAGAAAATCTAAAGCAGTGAGTACCCAGAAGTGACTCTTTTTTCACTTAACGTGAACTGTCAGATGACATGCTTCTAACTTTATGATAAAAGTCAACCAAGCATGTAATCAGGATTTCAGGATTCCTACTATCTTTCATGCTGAGAAACCTGAGCCTTGTTTCCTTCCCATGGTCTTGAGAAAGCATGGGATTCCTTCCAGCCGTTAGTTTCTTATGCTGATTAGATTCTGGGTTCTGAGGACTCTCCAAAGGCACCAGACAACCTGCCCAAGATGGCATGAAGATGTTTCCAGTTTTTAAAATTCCAAGAGCCCATTCCAAACCAATGAAATCAATTGCTTCCATTATTTCAGTAAGACAACAAGCACTCAGGGTTTGGAGCTTTCCACATAGAAAACAAACAAACAAACAGCCAGAAATAATCTTTTATAGATCCTGTCATGAGGTGTAACTGTTAGATTAGTATCCATTTGCATCTCCAACAAGTGGGGTTAAATGTTTAGAAGTAAGGAATACAAGAACGTAAATGAACAGAATGAAGAAAGCAAAAGAGAAGGAAGAGAGGGAAGTAATGAAAATGAAGACAGGTAAATACCATCTGGGTTCAACTCAAAGTCAGAGGTAGATTAGTACCTGAAAGGTTTTCTTTCTTAAAACAATAAAAAATACTGTGTGTGTGAGCATCTGTGCACACACACGTGTGCACTGGTCCTGGAACTTGAACTCAGGGCCTGGGTGCTGTCCCTGAGCTTTTCTGCTCCAGGCTGGCTTTCTACCATTTGAGTCATAGACACACTTCCAGCTTTTTGCTGGTTAATTGCAGATAAGAATCTCATCAACTTTCCAGCCTGGACTGGCTTCAAATCTCAATCCTCAGATCTCAGTCTCCTTCGTAGTTAGGATTACAGATGTGAGCCACCAGCGCCCAGCAACAAGGTCATTATTTTTGTTTTTTTTAATAATACGACATGTGGCTGAATTGTGGTTAGCCCTTCATTCTAACCTCTATTTATTTAAAAAGGAAAATAATATTGATTAACACTGGCTCAAACTGTGGAGAAAAACTACATTGTGCATAAGGAGCCATTTTTCTAAATCCTCAGAACTCACTTTCCCTCCGGCCACTGGACCAATCACCTGCATTACCCAAATTTTGAAGAACCTTGCATTTAGCGAACAATCCCTAGCAAAACATACATAAAATCATAGGATGAGAGAAACCCTTTAAGCGTTATCCAGAATCTTAACCCACGACTACATTTCTCACACTTCAGACTTGGCTACTCTTGAAAATAAAAATGTGTTTGGGGCAAAGAAACACATGAAGTGTCAGCCCTTGCCAATAGGAATATAAAAAACAGGTTCATTTGATGGTTTTCCCTGTTGTTAGCAAAGGCTGACATGGAGGAAGAGTCAACTTTGAACTTGTTGGCCCGCTGCTCCCCCCCCATCCCCTCCCCTCCAAGGCTCACATGGAGGGTGTGGTTCTAGACAGGAATGATGAAGCCAAGGGGTTCCGCTTGGCTGGTTGGAGGCAAGGGCCCACTGGAGACTTTCTCAAACACTGTGGGCCCAGGAGTTATGTATTAAATATAGGACCCAGTCAAAACAAAATGGTGGGAGCAAAACCAAACCACATTTTTGGTTTAATGGAGGTAGGGGAGGATGGGGCGGGGGGGAAACTGTGTTGGTTTTATTTTGTTTTGCGTTAGCATCAGAAGTGCCCAGATTCCCCTTTCATAGCATAAGAACACACATTTCTAGCCGGGTGGCTGGTGGCTCACGCCTGTAATCCTAGCGACTCAGGAGGCTGAGATCTGAGGATCATGGTTCAAAGCCAGCCTGGGCAGGAAAGTCGGTAAGATTCTTATCTCCAATAAACTACTCAGAAAAAGGCAGAAAGGGTGCTGTGGCTCAAGTGGTAGAGCACTAGCCTTGAGCAGAGATGCTTAGGGACAGACCCCAGGCCCTGAGTTCAAGTCCTAGGACTGGCACTGGCACACATACATGTACACCCATACACACACACACACACACACACACACACACACACACACACACACACACACACACACACACACACACACACACACACACACACACACACACACACACACACACACACTTCCTAATTTCTTTTCTACCTCTTTCCAAAAAGGGGCAATAGTTTTCTTTGGGCCATGTTGACAGAATGGGGTATTTTCTTTTCAGAAGGCTGAGATATGAGGATCATGGTTCCAAGCCAGCCCAGGCAGGAAAGCCAATGAGACTCTTATTTCCAGCTAGCCACCAAAAAAGTCAGAAGTGAAATGATGGCTCAAGTGGCAGAGGGCAAACAAAGCTCAGGGACAGTGCCTAGGCCCTGAGTTCAAGCCCCAGGACCAGTCTATGTGCATGCATGCACACACACAAACAAACCAATCTGTAGCTTATCATAAAAATGGAACTCCATGCCCAGTGTTCCATAATTTTTCAGAAACACTGGTATCATTTCTTTCCATATACAATTAGCTATATTTCAGGATTATCTGCACTGAAAGTCTTCCACAAGACAAACTGTACATAGAATAAGATATTGTAAATTGTTATTTAGGACTTGAAGCCAAGAGCTTCTTCAAGTGTCAGAGACTACCTATTACTGTTGCCCTGGTGATTATGATATGTAGTTATTTTATTCCTTAAAAGAATGTCACCTCATTTTCAAAAGCTCTTTTCTCTCCAACTATCAAGCCTTTAGCTACCTATTAATACCATCACGATACCAAGTTAGCACTCGCTATATGAACAGATGCTACTTCATGTAGAATCCATGTCCCATGAACCAATTGTGCCATTGGGCTGTGTTTTCCTCCAGGTGGGTGGAATAAAGCTACCTAGTAAGGTTAAAATTTTTTTAGTCATGAGATGCTAGCTAAGTCCTTTTGCTTACTTTTAGCCACACAGAGATGTTCATTTTTTTTAATGTCTTCATTACACACATGCTATTCTTTAGAAAGGACCACAAAATCCACAAAGATTCCTGAATAAACAGAATAAACAGTCAGCCCTTTCTCGGCTTCAAAATTCAGTAATAACAGTCATACAAAATATGTAAACTTGTCATGTGTTGTAAAAAACAGATCTCAGACCAGTCAGTTACAATATGCAAAAGATTCCTAAACACATTTGGACAATTTGCATATGGGGTTTCCCCAAGGCTTAAAAACATCCAGTTTACAAATGCATCATTGAAAAGCATTTCCAGTCATATACTTGGGAAAGATTTTCAATATCCTAAGACTTCACAAGAAATAGCCAGGTCCACTCAATTTACTTTTGTATTTGTTGTAATACTAAATCAAGTTGTGTATCTTTTCTTAGAAATTTGATTCACTGGGTTTTTCTTATAAATTCAATAAATTAGGGGTTGGGCTTTTCAGATTGTCTGAAATGTGTAAGAAGATTTATATAAGAACTTTCCCAATTGGTAGATTTATACCCCCAAAGTCCAACTTTGTCTTGTAAATACTATTATGTGTATCTGGCTAGCCCAACTATAAATTTTTATCAGGGATGATAACATTCAAAATCACTAGGAACATTGCTACTTTTAAAAATATGATCTCAGGCCGGGTGCTGGCGGCTCACATCTGTAATTCTACTCAGGAAGCCGAGATATGAGGATTGAGGTTCAAAGCCAGCCTAGGTAGGAAAATCTGTTAGAGTCTTATCTCCATTTAAGCACCCAGAAAAGCTGGTATTGGCGTTGTGGCTTAAGTGACAGAGCACTTGCACTGAGCAAAAAGGCAAAGGACAGCCCCCAGGCCCTGAGTTCAAGCCACAGGACCCACACCAAAAGAAAGCAACAACAACAACAAAAAGCAAAGGTTAGAGGAAATATGTATAAAAATGTATGTGTGTGTGTGAGAGAGACAGGAACAGAGAAAGGCAGAGAGGGACTGGTAGGGAAGGGGAAAGGAGGCTGAAATTAAAACATGCAAATAAGATGTGGGAAGAAATAGATGGAAGAAAAATAAAAGACTACAGGAAATGAAGCATAATCATGGTGCGGTATAGTTTTCTTAACTGTCCCCACTCTTTCAAAGGCTTTTCCGTAACGCATCTTGCGTCATTCTCTTGGGTCTTTAAATTCGGCTAACAGGGAAATTTTAATTTGCATATTATATCTAATTTATTTCCCCGTAATCCATCATTCACTCTTTAGATGCTTTCTTAGAACTAGGAAATCACATTTCACTGGGGATAAACCCCTGGAATACCACGAATGTTTGCCGTGAACTTTAAGGTAGATTAAAATGAAATCCAAGACTTCACAGTGAAAAACTAAATTTAGCAGATGTCTGGTTCTCGGCCCAGAAATGTCCCAGTCTTGTGACTCTGGCATTTTATGTTCTCAAAAAGTGACAATAGGTAAAGTACATATAATAGAAAAGAAGGATCTATATTGCTTTAACTTGGGAGGGATTTTTTTTTTTACCTTGTGGATTGGTTGAATGGCCAGTCCTGTGTGAAACAAAGTCATTCGTTTATTATATTACCTTTTGGTTTTGAGCTTTTGTTGTTTAAAACACTCACCATCAAACCTTGCGAGTCTGCTAATATCTGCTCCGAGTTCTGAGGTAACTGACAGGGCATGGCGGACTTTTAGGTTAGTCTCCCTGTGGAATTAACAACATGACATGAATTTTTATATGGAACAACCCAACAGCATCCAAAGCACTAGGAAGGATGGGTGCCCCACCTATGAAATCTGATCCGAAAACCCAGGGACCCACCCCCAACCCCCACCTTTAATTGCATTCACATTTTTCACAGAATCTTGGGAAAGTGGGTGGGGCTTCTCAGGTTCCTCAGAGTTGGCATTAGCTTAGCCATTCAGAGAGAGCAGGTCATCTTCTGAGCAGGAACACACACACACACACACACAATTCTGACCATCTGTCAGAGTCCTGTCTTTTATGGAAATGTCTGGTAATGGGTTCATTCAATGGTTTCATTCAGGAGATTGATTTGAGATGTTTTGTCTTTTCAAATGTAGTATACAGTGAACGCTATAAATGTTCCTCTTGCTACTGCTTTAGCTATATCTAAAAATGTTCTGCCAAAAAAAAAAAAAAAACAACTAAGCATAGGATTACGCAGGCCAAACTGTATTCGAATAGTTCAATATGGTAATGACTTGGGAGATACTGGCTAAACCCTGTTGGCAGGTTGGAGTCCTACTTCCCTAGGGCAAATGACCTAATTCTCTCTTACCGATTCCTTTCCCTATACAATAGGGTTTATATAGTCAGTCTCCTGTCGAGATTACAGAATCTAAAGAACACACACACGTAGATAGTGCCCACATAGGTAAGCATTAGATACATGTTTTTTTGCCAGATAAACAGACTGAGTCCTCTGAACATAGAACCACTCCATGGAATATGCTAAATCCTCCACATGTCAGGATGACAGCACAGCCCATTTTTCTCTTTTCTCTAAAAGGTCATATTTTAAAATGCCCTGAGTCTTTCTTTCTGGGGGAGGCTGGACACTCCCTGTCATTTTCCTGAGAAAGATGAAATGAAAGCACACACTTCTGAGGAACTTGGCCAAAGACTCCCTACATAAAATGATTCACATGCACATGCGGAACTTACTATTTCAGAGAGGAAATAAACTCCAGAGATCAATCAGTTTTTTCCAATAAAATCATGCAGAAAAATTACAGTTCTAGAAATTATGGCAAAGCAATTAACAATGGCCTTTGCAATTTAGACTTCTATGTCTTCCAGCCACCAGCGCCCGGCCCGAAGTCCTAGTTCTAAAGACATTTACTCTTAAAGAAAACAAAGGCTAAGTGCCAGTGGCTCACACCTGTAATCCTAGCTACTCGGGAGGCTGAGACTTCAGGATCATGGCTCAAAGCCAGCCCTAGCAGAAAAGTCTGTGAGACTCTTATCATGAATTAACCACCAGAAAGCCAGAAGTGGTGCTGTGGCTCTAAGTCGTAGAGAGCTAGCCTTGAGTAAAAAGCTCAGGGACAGCATCCAGGCCATGAGTTCAAGCCCCATGACCAATCAATCAATCAACCAATAAATACCTCACCAATGATCCTAATTTAATCACTTACCCATCGAGCTCAGCTGTTTCAATGTAACAGAGACCATGTGGCTCACTACTTGATAGAAGAAGCAAGTCAGCCTATTTTAAGAAATCACAGACAAAAGAATACTTGAGAAAAGCAGAGGTTGAAGGCCCTTGTACTACAGAATCCCCAGCCAGACCCAGCTTCAGAACCTGACTGAAGGGCTGAGGTCCTGAACTCCCCCTTTTGGATGACCACAGTCAAATCCTCCCTCTCCTTCCTTCTCTACCCCTGTTTTCATCCCAACAGAGACTTCTGAAGACTGACAGAAATTAAGCCAGGGAGGGAGGGAGGGAGGGAGGGAGGGAGGAAGGAAGGAAGGAAGGAAGGAGGGAGGGAGGGAGGGAGGGAGGGAGGGAGGGAGGGAAAAAGAAAAGGAAAGGAAGAATTTAATTCTATTTTTCTTAAACAGTTTTTAACAAAAAATATAGAATCTCTCCAATAAATAAGTTAATTAGAAAGATTTATTTGTATAGACCTTAAGTAACTCTTACATGACCAGGTAAGGGAACAGACAAATAAGACAGGAAAAAAAAAAACAACAGATGAATAAGGGTAAGAGAAAAAAGGAGGGCTGAGAATGTGGCCTAGTGGTAGAGTGCTTGCTTAGCATACATGAAGCCCTGGGTTCAATTCCTCAGTACCACAGAAACAGAAAAAGCCAGAAGTGGCACTGTGGCTCAAGTGTAGAGTACTAACCTTGACCAAAAGAAGCTCAGGGACAGTATCCAGGCCCTGGGTTCAAGCCCCAAGACTGGCAAAAAAAAAAAAAAGGAAAGGAGAAAGAAAGGAAAGGAGGAAGGGAAGAAAGAAGAAAGGGAAAGAGGAAAGAAGGGATATGGGAAGGAAGGTGGGAAGAGAAGAGGAGAGAAGGGAAGAGGAGGGGAGGGAAAAGAAGAGGAGGTTTGGAGGGAGGAAAGAAGGGAGGGAGGAGGGGTGGGAGGGGAGGGAGGAAGGAAGGGAGGGAAGGAGGGAGGGAGGGGGAGAGGCTGGAAGGAAAGGAACAATAAAAGGAAAGAAGAAAGAAAGAGAAAGGAAGGAAGGAGAAGAAAAGTAAGGAAGTTTTTAAAAGAGAATAATTAAAAGAGAAACAAGATGGAAAGGAAGGAGAAGAGAAAGGAAAGGCAAGCGCTAAGGGGCTTGGGGTGGGACAATCAGAAGCTGAGTAATTTGTTTTTGAAAATAGTTTTATTCTGGTTTTTATTTGAGCTTTGGAAATCACCTAGCACAATTTAGCCTTAGAATTCTGGGAACTTTCTACACTGAAAAGTTGCTAGTCTATTTTCTCTTAAAAAAAAAAAACTGTTTTATGAAATTCAGAAAGGTTTGGATGTCTAAAAAGAGTTGACTTCAATTCCAGCAACCTAGGATGAGACATTGGCCCAACGATTTCTGAGTGACGTCTGCATGCATGACTAGCATTCCAAGTCTGAAATTTCCTTGTTTCCTTCAAAAAAGAAATCAGAATTACTTCATTTTCAAGTCGTAAAGGCTAAACTTAGAAATGACACACTCTTTTAATGGTATCAAGCTTTTTAGATTTCCAACTCAAAAAATAGGGGTAGGGGTGTGGCGGGGTGTAGTTTTGTCTAAATTAGGATAAAACAGAGCTCAACGAAACTAGGCAACAGTCCCTCAAGGAATAAAAAATTACGGCTCCTCCTAAACTCTAAACGATTTAAACAGCCACAGAAGGTCATCAAGACAGAAGCGGTTCTGCTAAGTTGTCTCAGTGTACATAAAGCAAACCCATGAAGAGAACATGTCAAAAGCAGAGGCCACTCTTGAACCAAAAAATACCCAACCTGATCTAAAAGGGCGGACGTTTTTCTTTGATTCACCCCATTCTCATCTCCTGCATCCAGATTTTAAGGAATATTGGCATAAAGTATTTTAACAATAGACCTCACACTTCCCTGAGTTTACAACTTATGCCTACAACTCTCCTCCTTAGATGTTAAAAAAAAAAAAAGATCATTTTAAACAAAACGCAGAACTCTTTGTGATGGAGGGAGGGTAGTGATAATGTCTAAAGAATGTGAGCTTCTTGAATCTTTTAAACTCAGTGTTTCTGTGCAGCACTGAATCCAGTTGTGTTTGAGTTTATATTCAACAAGGGCAGAGTTCTAGTCCACAGCTGGCACACGAGTGACTGACTCACCATCGCCATCTGGTGGCTGAAGGGTGTCTCCTGAGCAGCGGTGACCCATCTACCTACCTATAAGCCCTGTGGGTTCTTTCTGCTCTAACCATTCCCAAGCTGTCTTCCTAGACCTAGAACTCAGAACTTGTGATCCCCAAGCATAAACTCTTTCTACTGGTGGGGAGGGGCTGCTAACTCACTGCAGTGCAACTATGAAAAACAAAGCATTCCCCTTCATTTTGTTATACCTTGTTTTTGCTTTGTCAGTGTTCAAAGACGAAAATTATATAACAGCAAAAGAATACTGGGCTAAGTCCAGCCCCGTGTCAGTGGCCTCACACCTGCAGTCCTAGCTACTTGGGAAGCTGAGATCTGAGGATAGAGCTTTGAAGCTAGCTTGGGCAGCAAAGTCTGTGAGACTTTTATCTCCAATTAACCAGCAAAAAAGGCCAGAAGTGGAGCTGTGGTTCAAGTGCTAGACGTGAGCAGAAAAGCTAAGGGACAGCACCCAGGCCCTGAGTTTGAAAAGAAAAGAAGGAAGGAAGGGAGAGTGGGGGGAAGAGGAGGAGGAAGGGAGAGAAGAAAGGAAAAGGAAGAAGAAGGAGGAAAGGAAAGGAAAAAGGGAAAGAGGAAAGGGAAGGAGGGAAGGGAAAGGGGAAGGGGAAGGGAGAGGGAAGAAGGGAAGCAGGAGAAGAGGGAAGGAGGGAAACAGGGAAGTAGGGAAGCAGGGAAGAAAGGAAGAAGGGAAGGAAGGGCTGGATGCCAGTGGTTCACACCTGTATTCCTAGCTACTCAGGAGGCTGAGATCTGAGAATCAATCATCATTCAAAGCCAGCCCAGGCAGGAAACTCTGTGAGACTCTCATCTCCAATAAACCACCAGAAAAACAGAAGTGTGCTCATCCTGAGCTGAAGAGCTCAGGGACAGCATCCAGGCCCAGAGTTCAAGCCCCATGACCGACAAAACAAAAACAAAAACAACAACAAACAACAACAAACAAAAAGGGATGGAGAGAGAAAGGGAGGGGGAGAAGGAGAGGCGGGGAGAGAGAGAGAGAGGGACAGAAGGACGGACCCACAGACTTCTTCCAACAGGACATAGGCTGTTTACATTTTTAATATAGAAAAATAATGTGTTTCCTTCCCACAATTTAGAAAAAAAAAAAAACTGCTCTTCAGTATCAAAGTTTTGTTGTTTAAAAAAAAACAAAAAAAAACCTTCTCCCCGTGGAAATTCTCAGCATGGTCCTGGTTGGGGGGGGTGGGATCCGTGCAGATGCATGGAGGTGGTGGAGGTTCAACTGGGAGCCATGAGATGGAAGAAGTCACCTCTGTGATTCGCTGCTGAAACTTAAAACAGCAAGGAGAGCAAGCATAGCACCAAAATGGCCCTTCTGGAAACATCTCCAAAAAAGGTGCTGACACGGACTCAATGACGTGTTATGGGCAGGGGTGAGGGGAAGAGCGACCGGGCACCCCTGCCAGGCCTAGGCTGTGGGCCAGCTTCGTCTCTCCAGCCCTATCATTTCTGAGAGACGACAATCTTCAATTCCAGTAACAAACTTGTCAACGAAAAGGTGACCGTCGCCAACACCTAAAGCAGGAATAGCTTTTGCAGAAGTGGGGCTGGGGGCAGGGGGAGCTGAGCTCTTTCTCAAGCCAGCCAAATAAATGGCTTGGTTCTCATCGTTATTCACGTGCGTTCATGTGCTGGAAGGGCAAAGCCCAGCCAGAGAAGCCTGTGGCTCACACCTGTAATCCTAGCCACTCCAGAGGCTGAGCTCTGAGGATCACAGTTCAAAGCCAGCCTGGACAGGAAAGTTCATGAAACTCTGTATCTTTAATTAACCAGCAAAAGGCTGGAAGTGGAGCTGTGGCTCAAGAGGTAGAGCGCTAGTCTTGAGTGAAAAAAAGCTCAGGAACAGCACCTAGATCCTGAGTTCAAGCCCAGGTTGGTATGGGGGAAAAAAGAAAGAAAGAAAGCTAAAGCCAGGTGTTGGTGGCTCACGCTGTAATCCTACTCAGGAGGCTGAGATCTGAGGATCATGGTTCAAAGCCAGCCTAGGCAGGAAAGTCTGCGAGACTCTTATCTCTAATAAACCACCAGAAAACCAGAAGTGTCGCTGGGGCTGAAGCAGTAGCGCGCTCGCCTTGAGTTGAAGAGCACAGGAACAGCGTCCAAGCCCAGAGTTCAAGCCCTATAATCAACCAAAAAAAAAAAGCTAGAAGAGTGTAAAATTCACAAAGAGGTGGGGAAAGAGGAGGAGAGCGAGAGGGAATGAGTAAGATCAGAGTATTTACACACAAGTATCAAAGCAGAAGAATGAAGCCTAGTAAAATCATTTACATGGAGGAGGGGTGAGTGACAGAAAGGGAAAATCTGATCAAAGTACATCGTATGCACACATGGGAATATCACAATAAAGTCCCTTGTGACCGTTAATAATTCCTAATAAAAAGATAATTTAAAAATTTTAAGTAATTTTTATAAACAACACTGTTGGAGACCAGGCTTTGAGACTATAGACTAAAAAAAAAAAAATCTTGCTGATACTTTGATGCTCACCCTATATGCTATTTTAACCCAAGAGACATTCTCTCTGGAATATCGTATACTCACAGCAACGAATTGGTTGCTCTCTAGCTTCACGATGTCGCCCACTTTGACGTTCATCCATCTCTCGTTCTGCAGTCTAAAGCACCAAAACAAACACGAATTTCTTTCTTCAAGAAGGGACAAGAATGAAATGCACGGTGGCCAGTGGCAGGAGCTGGATGGACCATGGGTACCAGAGGTGGCAGCTTGGGCTCGCTCCCACCCACGGCAAGTTCAAGGGATTCAGCCTTCACCTGAGCCACGTGGGGAGGGTGGGATTTGCCCAAAAATAGCCAGAGAGGAAGGGAGGGAGGGACATCTCTGGGAGCAAATTCAAAATGCCTCTCCCTCCCCACCTTCCCCTCACCCACACCAGAGGCCTCTGTTCACCTCCCCAGGGGTGCAGATTCCTGCAGGAGCTATGAACTTTCAATTTATTAATAAATAACGGCACCAATGTCACCACCATCTTGGTGTCACAGACTCCCTGGGGCAAACAAACAAACAAGAATGAGAAGACAGTGGCAAGAAAGACTGATCCAGCAAAACAATTAAAATGCAAATAAAAGTGGAGAGAATTAAACGTAGAGAAAGGCAAGAGCCAAAACAGAAAAAGGTGACAGAAGTTCTGAGAGACTGAATGAAGATGACCGCCTACAAACCCAACCACCCTCACGCACTGTGTCCAAGCATGGCCCCAGTACATTATATATACACGCACATGGACTGTGGCTTGATCTCCACTTCTGGAGTTTTGGTAGTTGTTCATTAGAGATCACAGTCTCACAGACTTTCCTGGCCAGGCTACCTTTGAACCTGTAGATCCTTAGATCTCAGCCTCCTGAGTAGATAAGATGACAGGCATAAGCCACTAATGCCCAGCCCGGCCCCAGTACATTGTTCCAGGCTAAGACCCTGTCACAGCTCAGAAGAGAAGAGCTGCGTAGCTTTCTTTGAAGCTCCTATAATGGAGTCTTAAATCTAACCTGTTACCAAGTTCAAAGCGATTACTGTCCAATGGGATGTGGTCTCTGGTGTGGTAAGTCCATCAAGGGCAAATGCCATCAAAACGGCCCACCCATGGCAAGATCGAGTGGTGTGAGCCCTCATGAAACAGAATTCAGCTTTGCTGTCAAATTTGGATACTGGCCACCCTTTGACATCCATTCTTAGGAAACCTGGAAGAGCAGGGCCATCCTGTCTCCCCGCCCCCAATAAATTAAGGGGGGGGGGCAGATTAATTTCATCATGTAGATTTTCTTTTTTGAGAAAAAAATTAGCCTAATCTACTTGTTTTAAAGGCTGGAAAACCATTTTAAATATTTATACAACTGTGAAAAAAGCTTCACACTATCAACCCCTGCTGGGTCATTTGGCTTAAATACTCTCAAGATTTGTGTTTGTTGTTGTTTTTTTCTTTCTTTCATACAGATCCAAGTACGTGTTTTGGAAATTTTTCAATGGCAGCATTTTCATCCCCAGCCAGAATTCAATCAGCTTCCAATGCCATGCTGTGCTGGTTTTCTCTAGTTCCATGACCAAGGGAATCTAGGAAGCCTTGTAAATCTTGTGTCATATATCCTTCATAGATATGGATTATATGCTGATTTTTCTCTTGGGGTACCTGTTTTGAAATACTAGAGACTTCTCATTTCTACCGTTTCATCTATCAGAAATGGCCAGTTTGTTAATGAAGGAAGAAAAAATATTATGTCTTATTTATAGAAACGTCATCGTTAGTGAATTGCTTTGAAGTCTGCATTCAAGCTGTCTTTACCTGGGCGTGGTGGTTCACAGCTGTAATCCCAGCTACCTGAGCAGATGGTAGTTTAAAGGCAACTTGACCCAAAAAAAAAAAAAAAATCACTTATGAAATGTTAGGTCAAGGAAGAAACCATTATAAGCCCAGCTATACATGAGACATAGAATAGAAGGATCAAAATTTGAGACTGCTCAGAGTGAAAAGCATGAGACTTTATCAAAAACAAACAAAAATCTAAAACAGAAGAGGCTAGAGGTGTGGCTCAAGCGGCAAGAATATCTGCCACCAAGGGCTATTCTTCACCTCCTTTATCATCTTCTTAGAACTCAGATTTCCTGAGCTTCTGAAGAAGAGATTGTAAGCAGGTATATTAAAAATATATATCCTTCAAGTAAGTCTAGTTGTCATTTTTGACGTTAATCTCCATGTGTTTTCTGGTGCTTTGGAATATAAAGTGTATGCATCCTTTTCTTGACTTGTGACTTTTCTTCAGTAAAGTATCTTATTGCCTCATCCATTTTTATTTTAATCTGGCTCAGAGAAGCACTAGCTAGATTGTTTCTAGGTTATAACATTTGTGTCCACATCTACAAATCTTGGAATTTCAATGCGGTCTGAACTCATGTTTACAGTACATATAGAAGGGGAAGACTTTTCCAGAAAAAGGTCAAAACAAAGAAATTGTAGCACCTGAGCACTGGGGGCCAAGTACCAAGGTTACAACCCATGAGATCATTTTGTGTTCTTAGCAAACCTATGATACAAGACTGCTTCCAACACGAACCCCAGACACCAGCTGCACAACACACAGAGAGCCCCAGAGCCCCTGTTTTCATTGATGGAAAAAAAATTTTAAAGAAACTTTTCTTTTAGGGCACATGCAAGGGACAGGGCAGCGACTGGTACCCAAGCCTGTCTGGCCACAAAGCCCATCCCTTAATAAATCTCTACTTATTGTTCTTTTAAAACAAAAAACACAACTATTTTCCATGGTAATTATTTACTGTGTGTTTAAAAAGGGGATAGACCCTAAGGAACTGAAGTAATTTGATGAGCGTAATGGTGCACACTTCCAGGTTTCAATATTAACCAGTGCAAAAAGATAGCTCTCAGTCCTGGTGTCCTGATAGAATTGCTCAGTGCACAGCAGTAGTCTCCGGTTCTTTTCAGTCCTCAGGCTGTCAAAGCAGAGCTAGAGCTAAGATGTACAGCTTGGCCCAAATCCTCCAACAATGGACTGGTTAGCAGAATCTCATTACGCTCAGAAGAAATATAATGCTCCTATCTTTGGAATCTATTTAGTTTTGAAGAATGCCAATATTTCTCTCCCTCCCCAGCCCTATTTCTCCCTCTGCTTAGGAAAATGCTTTTTAAAAAAATAGTAATCACCACACAGGCAGTTCTATGGTCAGCTGGGGGAGAGAATCTCACACCCATTGTGGCAGGAAGAGGGAAAGGGGAAGGATAGAAGAAGCAGACATGATAAAAGACAACAATCTAGAGCCTAGGGGATCCTGTTTCACAATTGGCTGAGAAAAAGATATGCAATCTCCTGTCTAATCTGTACAAAAATCCACACGCCTTGTATTACACATTAATCAGAAGCAGAAACAATTTAATCGCTGTGTTATTTTTAAAAAATGACCCATTCACCTACAACGTTCTACCTGCACAAAAAAACCTGCTAGCTGTTGTAGACAAGAAATCTGTCCCCGGAAACAATCTCCTAAGACCCTCTCTGCTGCTGTAGATTCTTAATAGGATCCCCTGAATAATACGATCTCTCAGAGATAGTATGATGAAGGAAGTTGGAAGAAAATGCTTTCAAAGGAAGTACACTGAAGGCCAGGACATGGATAGACCATGGAGAGAAGCAGAGTAATTCAGAATCCCCGGGCGGCACATCTGGATGGAAATTTGCATACAGGAAGTTGATTGGCACATTCAAAAGGCAAACGTCTCTGGATGGTGTGATGTGATTTGCTTTGGTCAGGACCTAATTTTTTGTAGCACAAGACACAACTAAAGAGGATCCCCAGAAGATCATGAGGTTTATCACTTCCTAGATTTACAGCTGTATGAAGCCCTAAAGACTTCCCAAGCTTGAATTCCTCAGAAACAGGATGGTTATGTAGGTAGAATTCTGAAACCCCTCCTAGTATAGGACATCACCCGGCCACTGATGAGTTCAAGACCATGCTTTGTCTGTACCAAATGACACTCCGACGAGACCAAGCCCTGAACATCTGGGGCCATGAGTGGAATTAGATACAGACGGCTGGTCATCAGAGATCCTAGAGACTAGTGCGGAAAACAGAAATCTGGCTCATAAATAACTGCCCCGAAACCGTCTTTGTCTTCTGATAACCTAGAAACAGACCTGTCTTTTTTTTTTTTTTGGAGAAATGACTTCAGTATTAAATGGTCTGCCATACAGCTGTCATCAAAAGTCCTGTGGGAACGTGGATAAAGCAAGGAGACTGTCTAATAAAGGATATATTAACTTTCATGCCTCCAGATATTCTAAGGCTTGTCCCTATGTACGGTGAGCTCATCAGAAAAGAATATGCCTGGACTTTATTACTACCCTGATGGCTCTCGCCTTGTCTTCTCAGAATCATGAGTCGACAGCAGCCAACAAACTTCAATCAGGATTTACTTAAGGTCCTCGGTGAAATAGCTTGGCTGTCTAAGGCGGCAAGCATGATGTCATTCACATTTCTCTCGACACCGGGATAAATCTTATTGCTCATGATTACTAGGGTACTTGCTTTTCACTGGACCATCAGTTTTGTATCCTCAGCACCTTCGTGATGAGGAGAAACGTAGTCCAAGGTCATATTTTAAATTCATGGATGACAAATCGTACTGGATCGTTTCCACTTAGGAAAAGAAAAAAGCAACTACAAAGTTGCGTACTATGACTGTCTGTTAAGGGTGACATTGTAGAGGCAATCTCGCAGAGACAACATTCTATTCAGAATGGTCCAGAAGTTACAATTTAACCATTAAAACATTCTTACATTTTAGCCCGGGTACTCGTAGCTATAATAAAATAATCCTAGCTACTCAGGAGGCTGAGAACTGTGAATTATGGTTCAAAGCCAGCCAGCCCAGGCAGAAAAAAATCCCTGAGATTCTTACCTCTGATTAACCACCAAAAGAATGGAAGTGGAGCAATGGCTCAAGTGGTAGAGTGTTAGCCTTAAGCAAAAAACGCTTAGGGACAGTATCCAGGCCTTGAGTTCAAGCTCCAGGGCCGGCACACACACACACACAAAAATTAACTGATAGTATGACATCTGGAGCTTGTTTTAAAAATACTCTGGAAAACA